AATTCACTCATTAAAGCAAGTGAGAAACACACTGGGGCAGGGGTGAGTGTCTGCGTGCATAGAGTCGTAGAATCATGGAATGGTTTGGGTTGGAAGGGACCTTAGGGCTCATTCAGTTCCAACCCCATGCCACAGAGGGCTTGGAGTAACCTGCTCGAGTGGAAGGTGTCCCTGTCAATGGCAGGAGTTGGAACTAGATGAGCTTTAAGGCCCCTTCCAACACAAACCATCCTCTGATTCTATGATTCATTGGAGGAGTCGTGTGAGTCACGAGTATCTGTTTCAAGTGCCACCTCAGCGCACTTTCAAGTGCACCATTTTCAATCTTTCTACTACAGCAGCTACTACATAGTAAGAGTAAAATCCCCACCATGCAGCAGAAGTTAAAAGATTCAAAAAGACCAAGGGTTGTATTTTTAAAATGATTTTATTTAGTAACTCAAGCACTCGGTAACCAGCAATACAAGAAACCTTCACTGTATTTTTTCCTATGTATGTACTTCAAGCAGCATAAGATGGATCTACCAGAAGCAGCACAAAAAATATAATGTCCAAAGCTAAATGATACAGTACTACTTGTACTGAAAATCATCAACAGAAGCAGCATATGAAAGTCTCTATTATATTTTCCTGGTAAAAGGGATCCAGGGGCACAGCAGAGTCACTGCATTCTGCGCCTTCCTAGAAGATACACTCCCAGATCAGAGTAAGGGCAAAGAATAGGAATTCCCAACGCCTCCAAGAGCCTGACAGGCTGCATGGAAATCTCCCTCATTTGGCACATGAAGAGCAGGTACAAGCAGCAATGGAAACATTCCCAGAGCATGGAAATGGCAAGTCTGACATGATGTAGCCTAGAAGCAAGATTTACAACAAAGGCAGCCCCAGTGCTCCCAACCCCAGCTCCTGCAGCCATTTGGGGCTCTTCATTTTCACTTAGGAGGCTGAAATCTTCCAGTCTTGAGCTTGCCAGAAGTGAAACTTGTTGGTTTAAGTCTAAGATGATTGAGGCTCCTGAGTGACATGAAAACTATGGAATTCCAACACCTGAAGAAGTCCTCACACCAAAACACCTGGATTCTGAAAGGCGACATTTCCGCAACCAAGCAGTTGTGGGGGTTTTTATCCAAGGAAGTTGAGACAATTAATCCAAGTGCAATATTACAGCATGTAAAGCCCCTGCATGGCCAACCTTACTCAGAATCAACGCGGCCTTCACTCACTGCAGCTTAATCCTCCGTGAGTAAGTTTATGCCACACACTTTCCCAACAGAGCTATAGAGAAGGGCAACCACCAACTGACACAACACACAGGACTCTTGCTGTTAGAGCTGGTGTTTTGCTATGAAGGCTTTTCTGCTTCTGGGGTCAGGGGTATTTGTTGTTCTGGCACACTGGGCGGCTCAGCTGGGATGGCACAGTCCACATCCACAACACAGACTTGTGTCAGGGTAACTTACACACTTACACAGAGCACTGCCCAGCCAAGTTACCTCCAAAGAAGCATCCGTGGATGATGTTAATACCACAAGGTAACAGGGTCCACAGAAAAACTTTGATTGAACCGAAAGGCTCCATGCCAAAAATCATAGTGCCTACACACACACTCCAACACGGGCTCTATCCAGGCTGACAACCAACACCACTTTACAAGACCCGTGCTCCATTCCACCTACACAACGTGAACATACACCAGGCCACACAATTCGCAAGGCACAGATACTACTGCAGTACACGGAGTTGTAGGGACTGCACAAAACACGTACTGGATGAGGCAGAGGGTTCCCCATCTCACTCTATGTATGGCCTGTGTGTAGGAGCCCATACCTCATTGTAAAGCCTGTACATTAATGATGCGAGACTTCTGAAAAACTGAAATACAGTAAAATAAAGTAAAGCCCAACTGCAGCACTCTACAAAGAGTAAACACATGTAGAACATTACATATGAGATTATTTAATTAAAGGCTACACTATGCCACTTATCCATGATGGGCAAGATTAAAACCCTGAAACAAGAGTTAATATAACCCTGACCTTTCCAAAGTTACCACCCTCGTACTTTCTCTTTCACCTTCAATATATAAAAATGGTTGCTCCCCAGTTTCATCATGAGAAGGAAAATACAACACGAAAAATAAGCAGTTTCTCATCTATTTCCTCAGTATTAGGCCATTAAAAGTTCAATATAACAGGTTTTAAAGATAAGCAACCGTGATGCAGATGAACCAGAAGACGAGGTGATGCCACTGCTAAAGTAAGGATGAACACAAGTCGCCATGATGTCTTGAATGAAACCCAAAACGAACGACTACACACAGCCACGACGACACTGAAAACACTCTCACCATGCCCACTACACGGGAAGAGGGTCTAAACCCATGCCTGGACAGCAGCACGGCTAACGCACTAGACACACAGACCACAACAGCAGTGCTCTTCCTATGATAAAAATCCTCAATTCTGGAAATAACGAAGATAATTCCAACAGAGGAGGAAAAAAAAGAGAACAGAAATCCAAATCCTGGAGCTGTGCACAGAAAACATCTCCCCACACTACAGAAACTATCTGTAGCTGCAAGAAAGCCAAGACTGAGTAACCCCACACCTATGAAGGCTTTTGAGCCAAACACTTCTGCCCTGTAATTACTATTTACACTAAATCGTGAACCAGGTTCTCTCCAGAGCCAGATGTTGTATAACCCAAGAACAAAGAGATACAATTTATACCCCTTTTTGGGGGTATATTAGAGAGGAAAAAGATCACTCTGCTTGCGCGAATAACAGCATCTCAACTCGCTGCCCTGCTCCACAACTCATATTCAGAAGGGCAGCGCCGGCCCAGGACGCTGCCACAAGGCATCCATTTGCAGTCAGAAAAATGGAAAGGAAAAACAAATAATAAAAAGAGAGGGGGGGGGGAAAGGGAGGGATAAAAGGAAGGAAGAAAACAAACGGGTGAAAAGAAAAGCAAAGTACCGCAAATGGCCGCAGCCGCGGCCCAACTCCCCTCCCCGGAGCGGGACGGGCTCACAGCGGGGCCGGGGCAACCTGCTCCCGCAGCCCGCAACACCCGGCCCGGCCAGACGCGTAGGCCCGCGCCCGCCCTTCCCTTCCCTTCGCTTCGCTTCGCTTCCCGCCCCGCTGCCTGCCCCCCCCCCCCGCCCCCGTGGGAGGCCGCTCGGTCCCCCCGGGCTCCACCGCCCTCGGCCCGGTGATGCCCCCGCCAGGCCCCGCGGCCACCGCCCCGCCGCCAACCCCCCCCGCTTCCATCCCTTCGGCGGCCGGGCGGGAGCGGCCCGCGCTCCGCTCCGCTCCGCTCCCCACAGCGGGGCCTAGCGCGGCCTAGGCGTCCCCGCGGCGGCGCGGAGGGGAGGCGCGGGCGCCGGAGCCGGGGGTGCCTGGGCGGCCGGCGGGGGCCCCCGCGTTGCTGCGGCTGCGCCGGGCTGGAGGAGCTGGGAGATTGCGCGGTAGGACACTCACCTCAGAGCGGCTGCGCTGCGGCGGGCCTGCGCCGTGGAGCCTTGTGGCGGGCGGAGGCCGGGGAGGGAGCGGAGCGGGCACGCGGCGCGGCTCGCCTTGAGCCGCCGCAATGGCGAGCGGGAGAGGCGGAGACCGGCGGCGGCGGCGGCGGCGGCGGGAGGAGGCCGGGGGGGAGAGGGAGAGAGCGGGAGGGGAGGAGGAGGAGGACGACGACGACGACGTATGGCGTCATAGCCCGGCGCCGCCGCCATCATGAGGAGGGCGAGGGCCGCACCGGGAGGTGAAGGCGGCGGCGAGGGGGAGCGGGCGGCCGCCGGCGCCATGCTGGGGAGGTCGCGGTGCCTCTGCCCCGCGGAGCTGGGTGTGAGGGTTGGAAGGCATCGGGACGGTCAGAGACCGTAGGAAGGAGGAGCCACAGCAGGCGGTTAGGAGGGACCCGTCCCTGGCTGGTGCTTGGAAGATGTTGGAACTGTTGGACGTTGATAAGAACAGATAGACCTTTTGCCTGATACCGTAAATGTAACCGCAAGGCAGACGCAGATGTGCTTGGAAGCATATAAATACCGTGTAATCCTTGTAATAAACGATCAGCTTGTACCCTAGCCCTGGAGCCGTGCCTCCATGCTCACAGCCGGGGGGCTATGGGGGGAGTGAGGGCGTGCGGGCGCCATCTTGAGGCGGTTGCGGCCTTTTCTCCCCCCTCAGCGCCGAAGTGGGTTCGAGCGGGAGAGCGCTGAGGGGCGGCGGAGCCCGGCGTGGGCTGTGGTCCCAAGCGCGGTTTTATGTGGAACAAAACCCGCTGAAACCATCCCGCTGTGCGGCGTGGCTGCGGTTTACCTACCCGCACACCGCCCTGGTGGGTCTGGGGTAGGAGAAACGGTATTGCTGAGCTGATGTGGGGTTAAAGAGGTATTAAAAGAAGAAGACATCGGGAGGTGGCGGCTGTGCGAGAGGCCATCTGTTTGGAGCTGTGAAGAGTGGGGCCGCCGGCGGGAAGCAGCTGGGGCTCCTGTGCTGCTGGAGCTCCTCAAACGCAGCTTGGGCTCATGCCAAGGGGAAGGGTGTCCCTGCGGCTCCTCGCTAAACACGGATAAAGCTGTCTTCAAGCAACTGACGGCCCGTTTTCTGCCCTGGCCACAGGCAGGCTCCACAGAGCTGGTCGTTTCCATGGCTGCCCTCTGAGTGTCAATGAACCAAACTCATCTTTAGCCCCACTAATTACTCTTCCTGGTGTATAGAAGCTAAAGGTTTCTTGTATCATCGCATCAGGGCTTAGAGACAGCTGTTGGGGTCACAGCCTTGTACTGGGAGAAGGTGTTCAGAGAATCCCAGAGTGGTTTGGGTTGGAAGGGTCCTTAAAGCTCATCCAGTTCCAACTCCCTGCCACGGGCAGGGACATCTTCCACTAGAGCAGCTTGCTCCAAGCCCCTTTGTCCAGCCTGGCCTTGAACACTGCCAGGGATGGGGTAGCCACAGCTTCTCTGGGCACCCTGTGCCAGCGCCTCAGCACCCTCACAGGGAAGAACTTTTGCCTAAGATCTAACATGAACTTCCCCTGTTTCAGTTTGAACCCATCACCCCTTGTCCCGTCACTAAAGTCCCTAATGAAGAGTCCCTCCCCTTAAAGGCAGCCGCTGTCCCCAGGCAGCCTGGGGGGTTCAGTAGGAACCTGAAATGTAAAGAAGGATTTTGCATGCAGAGGGAAATGATAAAAAATGGGTATAAATCTGTGTTTTGTAGGAGGGAGCCTTAAGATGGGACTTGACGTCTGATGCGCTGAAGCTGTCAAATTGAAGCTGTTTTCCCCACACCCAATGGATGACATGGAAAATAGAATGAGGACAGGTACTAGGAGAAGAGACAACTGAAGCTGGTTAAGAGCAGCCTGGAAAGCAAAATGTTTTCAGTAATATTCCTTCATTAAGGATCTTAAATGTTTATTATGCATTTTCTGCTAAAGATTTGGTGGATCAGAAATTCACTGCACTTTCATATTGATCATAGTTTTATTTTGGTTGCTGTAAAATGCATGTAATTTGTTTCATTTCAGGACCATCTGTGCCTAGTAAAAACCTCTTCCATGAGTATGTCAGTGTACTGAAAATGCTAAGTTGTCGTTGCACTAACATCCACTGCTGGGGTTTTACAAGTTCCCTTGAAGCAGGCAGTTCCAGGCCCTGTAGAAGGGAATGTGTCCAACATGGACAGCTCAGGGCACTCTACAGATTTACTCATAGGCAAATACAGAGAATGTAGAAGTAACTTCATGTGATGGCCATCAATTTTTTCCATCTACAAATAGAATAAAGCAATAGTAGATAAATTCTTAGGGCAGGAAGTGATGACCCTACGATACCCATGTGAAGGTGCAAGACTATGGAAAGCGTGGTGTGGAACACACACACTAACTGGTGTGCTGCATCTGCAGAGCCATCTGAGGCTTTGGCATGTGTATCAGTTCAGCTCGGGATCGACTGCCCACTCTACAGTCACACTCCAGTTGTTGCTTCAGCAGTGCCCCTGGATTTTGGGGAGGGGGAATCTTTGCTACCACATGCACGTTTCGGATAAAATAACACCTCTGCTGCTTGTGTGAATGGTGTCTTAGCCCATAGGCTCAATTACTCTGAGTTTTGGGTGCTCTGGATTTCTGCCACTGGCCTCCCGTAGGTATGAAATGTGGATCCAGGCTAGATGATGACTTACACCAGATGAATGTAACTCTTGCTGCAGAGCCAGGAAGGTGTTTTGGCTGGGCTGGTGCTCCTTGAAGATGGGGGAGGGAGTGCCAATGCAGGCAGACATGTGGAGGCAGCTGATGTGGACTGTAACAGCAATGGAATTCCCTTGTGGTAATCAGTAGGTTTGAAGCAGGGCCACGAGCACTGAGACCTGGGACTGTGCCACGCAACAGCCCTGGTGTAACCAACCCACAGTGACCCAGAATCAATGCAGGCGGAAGGTCACTTCCTGGTACATCACAGGAAGATAAAAGAGCCACCAAGATCATTTCATAATGGTGGGATATGATAATACTGGAAGAGCCTTGGAACACTCTGGATTCTCCCCCAGAGCCTCCTCAGCTCTTTAGTTGGAGGTTTTAAGAACAGGTTAGACAGAATACCACTCAGGAATGCTGCAGGTAGAGTTGCTCCTGCCTCGGGGAGAAGGATGTATGACATGACGTCTCGGGGTCCCATCCAGGTGGGTATTTCCAAGGCCACATGTTGCTAAGGGGTTTGGAATGGGCAGATCAAATCACGGGCTTGTCAAAGTGCACATTTATGAGTCAGTGGCTGTTGAGGGGGCTGAGACTGGTACAATGTTCTTTTTCCACCCCTCTCAAAGTGCTCTTAGTTACATGAAGAGAAGAGCACACACGGGACCAAAGCCTCTCTCTAGGGAACAGCATGGACATTTGGGATGTACCAGAAAGGTCCTGAGAGGCAGCATTTCTCAGTATGAACAAAGTAACTTTCTCTCTTTAAAAACCAGCATCAGCACTTGTCTCCCAGGTCCTCATGTTCATCCAGACTCTGTTGTACCCCATGATCCTATGTCAAAAGGTTTGGGAAAAGACTAATTTCAAGTAAAAATGTACCTTTGGCCAGGAGAAGGGAAGGGAGCCTGGCTTGTACACCCATGGGAATGCCAGGGGCTAGTTAGCACATGTCATAATCAGCATTCAGGGAAAGACTGGGGAGGAACAATGTAGGAATGTGAGGAAAGGGAGCTCTGATGATGGAGCAGACACAGAAAGTTTTACCCGTCCACATTCTGGGGCTGGAAAGAGAAAATGTGGAAGGGATAACGTGAGGACAATGCTGTCAAGTTACCTGCTGGATGTGTTGGCTCAGGGGCTGTTGAGGCCATGGGGGAGAGGTCAGAAGACTTGGTACAGGTGTATTAGCAGCTCACCTTGTCTTTGGTTGGTGACTTCTGGGACAGAACAAGAAAACAGATGAGTAACAAGGAAGGATTGCCAAGGAAATGATCCCCAGGAAAGCATAAAGGGGAGTGCCTGAGTCAATTAGCTGGTGCTGCTTGGTGACATGGGGGACTTATTACCAGCAGTGTAAGTGGCTTCCGAGCTTTGGCCAACAGCCTCAGGCAGGTCTGGCCTGAAAGTGCCACCAGGTTTGGGCAACAGATTCTGTGTGGGTTTGGATGCCATAGTAGGATTCATGCACAAAGAAGAGCCCTGGCTCCAGTGAAGGCTTTTCTCCTGTGGGACTGGCTGCATTACAACCATGAAGTTTACAAGTGGGAAAAGCTGGTATTGACTTGTAGGGACCACAAACAGATTAAGTATTCCTAAGTTGATGTGGCACTTGATGGTGCGTTTAGCACATCTCATGGAGCAAGTCAATCCAACACATTGCTCCTACCACCTCAGCCAATGTGGGCAGGAGGGAGAGTGTCCAAAAAGTTTCTCAGGGAAGCTTTAGGACTTCCTGAACAGACCAACTCCTGCTCATTTTATAACAAACATCACAACAAACAAGAGTCTGTTACCTTCCTGGGCTTAGATGGGAAGGCTGATCCCTGGCACGCTGGAGCTGCATGTGTTCATGCAGCAGATGTGTTCCTGGCAGCAATTCTCATGCCACAAAATGGCCTAGCTGACTCAGAGTTAAAACCTCTGCTGCCTGGTTTCACTTGGTGGCTGCCTGTGCTTGGAAGAGGTGCAGTCTCGGGCTCTTGGCATCTTATATCATCAGGAAAAAAAGTGGTCTTCTTCCATACAGAGTTTTTATTCTCATCTTAAGCCCATAGAAAAGTGACTGATTCACTTTTCACAGGGAAGAACTTCTGCCTAAGAGCTCATCCCAGTCTCCCCTCTGGCAGGTTAAAGTCATTCTCCTTGTCCTGTCCCTACTGGCCCTTGTGCAAAGGCCCTCTCCAGGTCTCTTGTAGGCCCCGGTTCAATAGTTAATGTCAACATTCATTTTCTTGGTCAACAATAAACAATTTTAGGGCCCTGCTTCCTATTTTTGGAGTTCTGTTTTGGATACTCACCCAGACCAGCAGGGCTCTGAGACAGCCTTAAGCCTCCCTTGGGAGCAGGGAGAGTTACAGCAGAAAGGGGATCCATGCCGTGGGCTCTGGAGACCTCAGTTCTCTCATCAGCAGAGAGAAGGGTTGCATGATGTGAAGATCTAGAAGATACCCAATACTGGGGCTAAGACCCTTGTTTTGGCATTTGATTATACAACAAAATGGGGTCTGAACGTGCAGCAACAGAAGTGACATATGACGTGTCTTGGAGACAGCAGCTTCACTTGTGGTTTCTGTCTGCAGCAACCAGTAACCAAAGTAGTGTGGGTTTTGGGCTTGCCCCACGGCAGCCAACTTCTTCTCTGCTTCTCACAACTAGTGATTGTTTCTATTCTGCCAGTACCCAGAGCATTTAAAAGTAAGAGGCAGCAGTGCTGGATGAGTGCCATTCTCTCATCTCTGTGTAAAAGCAGTAATAGTAACAACTACTGAGAGGGAGTAGCACATAAGAGCCCACTTAAGCTATTATGTATAGCTTTTCAGTGCCTATTGCAATGTTCCCTGCAACTAAGCACCAAACTGCAGTAGATTTTACAGCAAAAATAGATAATGGGAGAGAAAGATGAAACTGTAAAAGATGAAGAAATGAGCTGGGAACTTGTTGGCAGGGAGGCTTTCTTCTCTCCTCACATTTTGTTTGCAGCTTATTTTCAAGCACACTGGTGAAGACTTAATGAGTTCTTAGGACAGGGGCAGCCTGACTCAAGTATCTCATTTCCATAGGATCCTAGACTGATTTGGGTTGGAAAGGACCTTAAGATCAACTAGTTCCAATCCCCTGCCATGGACAGGGACACTGCACATTAGACCATGTCACCTAAGGCTCTGTCCAACCTGGCCTTGATGCTTAGGCTTGTCCTGTACCAGCACTGTGCTGCTGCTGAAGCCTGATGATCTGGAGTCCTCACTTGTGGGATGGAGCTGGAGGGAGTGGCTGTGGACAGCACTGCTCTGGTGAGCCTGGGTGTCCAGCCCCAGTGTTGCCACTTCCTCAGATCAGCTCCTGTCTTCCTAATGCAGTGCATTAGGAAGAACATGCTGCTGCAATGCCCTCTGCACAGGGCTGCAAATCCCCCCATTGCAAGTCCTTGTTCATGTCCAATCTGCTTTTCTTAGGGATATAAACTCCCCAAGCAGTCACTGAAGACTGACTACACCGAGTTGGATATTTATGTTTGCTTTTCTTCATTACTCCACTAGTTTTGGCTAAAGAGGCTGTTTTCCCCTGGCTGGTCTGGCTGCCTGCACACAATTACACTTGGCTATTATTAGCAAGAGTGAGCAGGGCTGAGTTTACAACTGTGCAGGAGCGATAAGCTCGAGACGACGGCGCTTCCTCTCCAAGGAACTGTGTAACTGCTCCTCCGCGTCTGGAGCCGCCGCCATGCTCAAGGCAGGAGGTATTTTTGTTCTCTCTACAAGGATGCCGAGGCCGGGTGGTTTCCTTTAACAGCTCAGACAGAGAGAATATCCCCACAATTCTACCTTCAGCATCCAAGGCACTGAAGTCACAGAAGTCTCATACCCATTTTTATGGCCTTCAGCCCAAATTCCTTAGGACCCCAAGCCATGGCCATGCTGGTTTCCCTGAACTAATCACATTTCTGTACTCACACTAAATCTGAATTTTCTTTTTCAGTATGAACCTATAGAGAGTGGGATAGAGCTCACTCAGTGTTTCTGTACCTAAACCAACACACCCAGAGGTGCTTTAAGCCTCTGCATACATTTAATCTGAGGGATCGCATCCTGCACTGCTCTCACTATGCGAATCTAAAGGACTAGTCCACGCATTGATGCAGGCTTTAGATTTAGGAGAGTTTAATCCCATAAGTCTCAGTTTTATGACTCTCATGTAGCAACATGTGAGAAGAAAACCTGCACATTGGAGGTGTGAATTGTCTCCTTGTGCTGATGAGGCAGCAGCATTGGTGAAGCACCGAGGAAAGCAACAAGAATAACAGGTTTAAAAACTATAGCATAGGAATGAAAGGCTGGAATAGTGCATTTCTTACCCTAAAGAGCTGAAAGGAAGAAGTTTTAGGAGAAAGGAGACAGAACTTTCGCTTCATGAAAGGTCATTGTAAAGACAGCAATGAACTGTGGGTTATGGCTGCTGGTGAGCTCAGGCTCTGCCACTGTAGGTGTTGGAACAGTTCTAGAGCTACCTGAGAGCTGAATGACCCTGGGACATGACAAGAGAAGCTCACCAGAGACACCCCCAAAAGTCCCTGGACTGAAATCCCACAAACTATTAAAGCTCCTTTGATCTCTTCCAGGTAAGCCTGCAGTGCCAGGTTGTGAAGGGTTTAAGACCTGTCAAAGCATTGCAGCAGACCCTAACTGTGGTTCTAGGCAAGAAAAGCAAAGTACCAGCTGCAGTGTAAGAGCCTGGAATGTTTCCTATTCTGCTATCTTGCTTTCTGGTGATGCCAACAGAAGTTATGCAAGCCACATGCATAAAGAGAATGGGGAAGGAGGAGGCATCGATAGAAGCATTTCTAAGAACACAGACCTACTCCTTGGACAGTTCCCAAAGGGCGAGCTATAATTATCAGGTACTCCTAGAATATTGTATCTATTTTTTCAGGTGCCAGGCTTCCTGGATAAAGTATCCCAGGACCCAATACAACAGGTGACAGAAGGACTCCTGCTTTCAAGGACACCATTTGAAAGGAGTTGGGACACCATAGCAAGCTCAGTGGTTATTACTGGAGTGAGACAAAGAGCCTCATGCTTAGAAAGCTCTGATATACCCCAGCACAAGATGGGGGAATATCACTAGTGGAAGCTTCAGCTTTAAATAATAAGTGGAGCATTACTTACCTTGAAGAGCTGAAGTATAAGGTGAGGTTACAAAACAGATCACTCGAGGAGACACTACTATCAGTAGTAATAGAAGACGCAGTGATTTCATAAGGGTTGGTTGGCATTTTCTTCAAGCACTGGATTGTTGCCAGTAGCAGACTGCAAGTCATGTCAGAAGCTGTAAACCAACCACAACTCTCCTTAGGAAGCTCTCCTATGGAGCAACTGATGTTGCAAGAGATTTCACTTTCCCCTGAAAGATTAAGAAAACTAGGCACATGACATCATTCACCTGCATCCCTTGTGATCCAGCCTTCACTTCTGCTGTCTTGGGGGCTTGATAAAACCTACTTACATCCCAATCAAACCCTGCAGGCATGAAATAGGAATTACCAACAGTTCTCCGATGTAAAAAAATCCATCTTATACATGCAAAGCATCTCCCCTTGTTCTTCCACAATCATATCTAGTGAAGGATGCGTTAAATCTAGGATGGGAAACTCCCACCATCATCAAAAGCCAATGTCACAGAACACAAATTCCCTGCATATATAAGCACATCATGGTTTCAAGAAGGTTGGTCAGCCTATCTTGAACTGCCATGAAAAGAAACCCACAGAAGTTATCACAGATAGTAACATTTTGTGTAAACAAGAAGAGAGCCAGATCATTCCTGCTATGGAATGGGCAATCCAAGTAGTTCTTACCGTGTATCCAACATGCCAAGTGCTGCATCATAGAATCATAGAATAGTTAGGGTTGGAAAGGACCTTAAGATCATCAAGTTCCAACCCCCCTGCCATGGGCAGGGACACCGCACACTAAACCGTGTCACCCAAGGCTGTGGCCAACCTGGCCTTGAACACTGCCAGGGATGGAGCATTCACAACTTCCCTGGGCAACCCATTCCAGTGCCTCACCACCCTTACAGTAAACAAGTTCCTCCTTATATCCAATCTAAACTTCCCTGTTTAAGTTTGAACCCATCACCCCTTGTCCGATCACTATAGTCCCTCCCCATCATCCTTATAGGACCCCTTCAGATATGTACTGTGGTTGTGCATCCATCCGATCAGATGAGGGTTTGGGGTAGATCTATTCTGCAGACCTTTTTTTCAGACCAAGAAAGATCAAATAAGCCATAGATAGAATCATGGAATTGTTTTGGTGGGAAGGGACCTTAAAGCTCACCCAGTTCCAACCCCTGCCACGGGCAGGGACACTTTCCACTGGAGCAGCTTGCCCCAAGCCCCTGTGTCCAACCTGGCCTTGAACACTGCCAGGGATGGGGCAGCCACAGCCATGAGTAGATGAGACAGGAGTTAACTTACTGAAAACTTTATTTACTTCTTCTGACACTGTGTAGTGCCAACATCTAATAAGGCCTTTTGGATGGAAGTTTCTCTTTAGGAACTCACCATAGGAACCTCCTCTTCATTATGGAGATACCATTTATGAGCAGAATTCCCCTCTGAAGTCAGGAAATGACAGCCAGAGCGTTTCTTAAAATGAGAAGTGAGACAAAAGGATCCATGTCACTTCTCAAGCCTCTCTTATTTATCATAAAGAACCACAATGTGTTTGTTAATGTGAAAATAAACAACAGGAGATGCCAGGCAGTACAGAAATGCTGACTGAATGAAAGAGTAAAAGAAGGGAAACTGCTCACATACAGCTTGAAATACCAAATGTGGTGAATAATACCTTTTTAAACTTTATATGGATATAGGCGTCACTCACATAAAAGTCCTGTGACTTTGCACATCACTGCAGCTCACCCACAAACATGCACATCAACATCCAGAGTATATTTAACACAGAGCTTAGGTGTACAGCTTCCTACAGGAAACGTTAACCTCATCTGCCCAGAGCAACAGGTTGTGCACGACTGCTTGGTACCAGCAACACGAAGGGAGCCCTGATACTAGAGAAATCATTGAATCCCAGACTGGTTTGGGTTGGAAGGGACCTGAAAGCTCATCCAGCTCCAACCCCTGCCACAGGCAGGGACACCTTCCACTAGAGCAGCTTGCTCCAAGCCCCTGTGTCCAGCCTGGCCTTGAACACTGCCAGGGATGGGGCAGCCACAGCTTCTCTGGGCACCCTGTGCCAGCGCCTCAGCACCCTCGCAGTGAAGAGCTTCTGCCTAAGATCTAACCTGAACTTCCCCTGTTTCAGTTTGAACCCATCACCCTATCGCTACAGTCCCTGACGAAGAGAAATAAGTTGCCCAGAAGGAAGTTACTTCCCCAGACACTTGCTCTGCTGCAGTTGCTGTTAAAGTGGGTTCTTCATTTTCAACTTCTCCTGCAAAACTGCCCCTGGGACCCACACTGACAGTGATGGTGGGAGCTGCCCCATGATGCTGAGCAGTTCCTACCTCAGTGCTCAGAAACAGTCCCTTAAAGCTCTGTGTGGTAAATAATCATACAAAAATGAAATGTTCGTTGGTAAATTTACTCTTAAACATTTAGCTCAAGGTGGTTGCAAGAGATCTCTTCCTTTAGAACACTGATAGAGGAAATAGCTGCAAGTGTATGCTGTGACCAGAGACTTCCTGGTGGGTGATGGGGAAGCAAGAACAGGAGTAAATGCCAAGGACGACACGTTGATGTACAACATTGACAAACTGGTACAGCAAACCACATCTGGTTCAGCAGAACATGTCAACTGCAGACTAGTTAGGAAGGAAATGGGATACCCATCATGACTTCTTTGACAGGTAGATGAAGACACACCGAGGCTGGAGCACCTCCCTCGTGAAGACAGGCTGAGAACATTGGGGCTGTTCAGCGTGGAGAAGAGAAGCTGCATGGAGACCTCAGAGCAGCTCCCAGTGTCTGAAGGGGGCTACAAGGATGCTGGGGAGGGACTCTTCATCAGGGACTGGAGTGATAGGACAAGGGGTGATGGGTTCAAACTGAAACAGGGGAAGTTCAGGTTGGAGATAAGGCAGAAACTCTTCCCTGTGAGGGTGCTGAGGTGCTGGCACAGGGTGCCCAGAGAAGCTGAGGCTGCCCCATCCCTGGCAGTGTCCAAGGTCAGGCTGGACAGGGCTTGGAGCAAGCTGCTGTAGTGGAAGGTGTTGGGATTGAAACTCAATGAGCTTTAAGGTCCCTCCCAACCCAAACAAGTCTGGGATTTTATGAAATGAGTGGAGTAGTGCAGTACATAATGATGGTGGTTGGCCTACAAGCAGTGCCAAAAAACTATTTTACCTTGTCTACACCTCTTGATGGAGGGAACATTTTAAGCTTGAGATACAGAACAAGGCCTTTATCGGTTTAGATCAATCACGGAATAGCTGACTCTTCCGTTATCCATAACAGTTACCTGGAAGCTGGAAAGGTGCTGCACCTCTTTCTGCAGGGGAGTCAAGCAGAAATGGCCTGGAAAGCCAGCTCGCTGCCCTGCCAGGTTGCCACCACAGATGTTCAGCCCTGAGAAACCAACTGAAATCTTGATGTGATACTTCTGTGCACATCAAAGTGCTGCTTGATGTGGAGAGCAGTCTTGCATACTCACAGTCCCTCAGGTATCCAAGAGAACTGGGACGTCTCTCCTTATAGCAGCTCTAGCCTATTGCAGATTCTCTTTTCCCAACTATTCCTCCAGACCAAAGGCTATGTTAAACACACATGGAGGAAATGGAGTGAAACAATTCCCAACTGCAACACAAAGCTTGTGATCTCCAAACAGCGTTTTTGGGCTAAGACCTATTGCCCTAAGGGTGTGGAAATTCATCATCACCTCTGACTGTGTGCAACAGCATCACTGACAACATCTAAGCTAGATCTCCAGATTTTAACTACAGCCAAAGGAGAGCTGGTGGTAATTTACAGGTACAGTTTATCTGACCAAATGTAGCCATTTCGTTCAGAATGAGGTGAACCACATAGATGGCATCTCATGGCTCTTTGGTGACCCAGAGGTGGAGTGTCAGGTGACTGACAGATAAAATGATGTTCTAGAAATCATAACACTGTCAGTCTGTGGTATCCACTTTCTGAACCCAGTTTTCCACCAACACTGTTGGGAAGTATGTCCCATCCATAAAAGAGTAACATCAGTTTGGGTAAAGCAAACTTCACTACAAACCCTTCAGACTACAGAGAGCAAGTTTTATTCCACACGGAACCAGAGGGTAAAATGCCACAGCTGAAAATGCACCAGCACAGCGTCACTCAGCATTTGTCAATCTAGGCTGGAGCTATAATAAGAGTGTCTTTGTATGGACACAACAGGCCAAATATGAGCTAATCACTAGAGTCTAATCCACAGAAATGTCTCTTCTTCCCAGGGGAGCCTGGTTTTCTCCAAGTCCTTCACCTTCCAGACAGTTACTTTCTTTTCTTCTTCTTTTTGGGGGAGCCAGGCCAGGGAAAGCCCCGTAACTCCAGGCAGGCAGCAGCATTGTGGCAGATGTAGTAAGCATTGAGCATGGCATCTGGGCTGAGGATATCCACTTCCTTCACCACCTTCTGCTCTTTCTTACTGGCGCCTTTACCTTTGCCACGCTTGGGTTTGCTGCGTTTACCTGCCTGCAGAGAGAAAATGAGCACAGAAAGACTCCATTAATCCACATCTTTATTGTCTCACTTCTCAGTAGAGGATCCCTACTCATCCTGGAACAACTGTTCCCATTGCATGGGAGTCCTGACTCACAGTAATAGCTCTGAGCCCCTCACCACAGACTCCTGTACTTTGTGGCGATTTTATACACAGACTCACAAGTATTAATACACTTTCACCAAATCCATATTTGCTCTATAGGCTGTAATAATGTTTAAAAGCATCAGACAGAGCTAATGAGTGTTCCCTTGTGCTTCTCTCTGGCTAAAAAAAAGCCTTTTGCACAATGAAAATCATCCATTCTTCCCAATAGCTTTTGTAATTAATGCATTAAGATACAATCCTGATGCAAACTAAGCCTCTGTTCATCCACTACTACATGTCTACTTGTGGCTCTGGATCATAAACCAGAAAAGCAGGTCTCCTTTCCACAGCTGTGGCCTTTCCAAGGCTCTGTGACACAGCTGCTCTGTGCTATTAGCAGTACCACAAACAGAAAGAGCAGCTCTGCCACTCTCTATGTAGGAAGGTGTTGCCAAGACTCACCAAAGCCATAAAGCAGGGCAAAAGAATGCTCCTGTTAACTCCAGGTGATTAGTGCTGGTGCCTGAAAGTCCAGCCTCTTGCTTCCAATAGAGATTTGCCAGAGCCCAATTCACTCGCTGGATTGTTCTCTCATCCATCCTGGACACTCCTCACAACAAGCCCAGAGTGTGTGCATGTGGAAGATGCTGCTGCAGGTACAGAGCAACAAAAAGCAGGGCGAGGGACCCACAAAAAGCAGGGCGAGGGACCCAAAGGGATCTCCCATTGCTGCTGTGATGGTGATGGCAATGGCAACATGGAGCCAGGAGGTGGGCAGCATCCCGGGAATGTTGAGGATGGAGCCACAGCCCAGAGAAAAGGCTGAATAGGAGTATTTACACACTGTAAGGAACTGGAAGGATTTGATCTCTGGTCCAGTATCAAGAGCACTTTCAGTACACACCAAGTCACTCAATGCATCTGTCCAGCTACTGTTGTTACTTGCCTTGCTTGCACACTGTAATTAAACAGATCCAAGCACTTCATTAGGAAGAATTAGCACAGACACAGCCAGAAAGGCCACAGGTAACTGCCAACTGGGCATGAACTAGGAGAAAGCCATATACATGGCATTTTTCACGGTATCAGTTTTAACAAGTCCCTTACAGCTGAGGAGAGTGCAAAAAGAGACAAACATTTGTGCTCTGAGCTGTGAGAACAGTCAGGGTACAACCTTCAGAGTCAGCCAGGACCACAATGTGAAGACATATGTACAGATAAAGAAACAAAGTCAAGATTTCCATATAAAGGACATAGGAGCACTACCCACAGGAGGGAAAACGAAGACAGAAAATAGAGTGTGTGCTGTGGCAGAGGGCAGATTGTTTCCCAGACCTTCAGCCCTGCAGCTTGCAAACCACCTGAACCCAGACATGCATTGGAGAAGGTGACAAGCCTTTTTTGCAGACCTCAATTGGACAGAATGTGTTGAATACTCCACGTGCTGGAATGTGCACATTTCATAGAGTAGATGCTTATGTCAGATGGTTCAGGCAGTCACCTGAATCACGTTCCCTGTTCACGTGCTTCCAGCAGGGCCTCTGGTGGATTCTGTGAGCACAGGGAGGCTCCTGCTCACAATTTGGTTGTAGCTCATCTTTCCAAAGAATAAAGGTGCTTACATGTAAGGACAAACTGTCCAAGTCTGCAGTGAGGAGCAGGCACTGCCTTTTGCCTACAGCACCCTCACTGCTCCTGCTGCCCCTCTGCAGCAGGTACCTCCAACCTCCAGACTTGAAAAGCTCCCCAGCACTGCCAGCAACTCCCTTGTCTTCCCTTTGCCATCTCTCATGGGATGTGGCATCTGTAAGCTGTAACCTGCAGTCAGCTCACACATGGGAGCAACAACCTAAGAGGAGGGGTTCAAGAAACACAGGAAGCCAACAAGCTACAGCATCACAAAGCCTGTCAGAAATAACACCCTGTGGGTGTGCATGCACCTTCAGAGGTGCCAGAGCCAACTTGGTGCTACAGCTCTTTAAGGAATTCCAATTCCGTAAGGAATCCCAGTATTCCTTAAGGATTTATCAGGCAGCCAGAGGATGTGTGATGCTGAACAGAGCATTGTTATTTTTCAGTGTATAGAGATGGTAGTCACACATATCAGACTTCTCACCCTGATCTCTTATGAGTTTTAAACTATAGCCCAGTGTGACTTCTGAACACTCTTCAAATGTACTGGGAAAGCCATGTGTGTGCAGCACCTTCATTCCCATACAAGCATCAGGATTTGAGGCTTTATGGGATTTGTGTTACATTTTACAGCCTGTAACCAAGAACAAGAAAAGCTACTCATTCAGTGCGTATTTGCACACAAAAGTGAATCTGGGCAGGTCAGTTTATGCCCTGCAGCCCTGGGAAGGAACCTTTTGGATGTTAATTTCCATTCCCTTAAAAAGCAGTATCAATACTCTTCAGAAGAATCAAACCTGCATTACCATGGCTAAGTCTTTACAGAGTGGTGGGACTCCACATCAAGCTCTGAAGATGGACCCTGCAACACATAATCATGCAGCAGGTTACATCCTGTACAAAGCACTGGTGTCATTCCTCTTCAACTTGAAAGAGGGGAAATAAAAACTACTTAAAGCTAGTCCTTACAGCAGGAGGAAGGTGAGCCACACTGTATCAGCTGTGAAACCATAGCATCAGGGAATGGCTTGGGTTGAATGGAACTTAAAGCTCATCCAGTTCCAGCCCCTTGCCACGTGCAGGGACACCTTCCACTAGAGCAGCTTGCCCCAAGCCCCTGTGTCCAACCTGGCCTTGAACACTGCCAGGGATGGGGCAGCCACAGCTTCTCTGGGCACCCTGTGCCAGCGCCTCAGCACCCTCACAGGGAAGAGCTTCTGCCTAAGAGCTCATCTCAGTCTCCCCTCGGGCAGGTTAAAGCCATTCCCCTTGGCCTGTCCCTACAGGCCCTTGTCCAAAGCCCCTCTCCAGCTTTCCTGCAGCCCCTTTAGGCACTGGAGCTGCTCTAAGGTCTCCCCTTCAGGAGCCTTCTCTTCTCCAGGCTGACCCAGCCCAGCTCTCTCAGCCTGGCTCCAGAGCAGAGCTGCCTCACCCCTCTTAACTTTCAGATTCCAGAACTCCGGAGCTTTTCAAGGAAACTCTTGAGATTTCCCCTAACAAAACAAGACAGCACAAAATGAACACCCTGAACCTCAACCCGGTGTCAGCACCTGCCAAAGCCCCACGCTCAGGGCTGCTCCAGGCAAACCTCACCCACCGGCCCCATCCCTGCGGGACACCGCGTGTACCACCGGCAGGACCTTCCCTCCCTTCCACAGCGCCCACCGCCGCATCCTCCCCTTTGGGTGGGAAAGCTTCCCCCACGTCCAAATACAACCAATCCCCCCTGCCCCTCTCCCCCCTCAGGGCTGCGGCCATTGCGGCCTCCCCTCCCTCACCTCCCGCCCCGGGTTGCCATGGCAGCCACGGCCGGTTCCCCACGCAGGCGCAGAGGAAGGCGGGAAAGCCGTAGAGGGGCGGAGCCTGCCCCTGAAGGACCGCCCCTCTTCCAATCAGCTGCCGGGGTGAGCGGAGGGGGCGGTGCTCGCCGTGACTGGCGGGAAAAGCCTTTCCGGGTTAGCGGGGAGCGGAGCGGAAAGGGGGTGCCCGGGGGAGCTGCTTGTGGGAGCTGAGGCAGGGCCCGTTGGAATCACGGAATGGTTTGGGTTGAAGGCACCTTAAAGCTCCTCCAGCTCCAACCCCCGCCACGGGCAGGGACACCTTCCACTAGAGCAGCTTGCTCCCAGCCCCTGTGTCCAGCCTGGCCTTGCACACTATGCCCCACAGGGATGGGGCATGGACCACACTGACATTTCAGACCCAGCTTGTGCTTCCTTCGAGAGCCACCCTTCTGTACAACAGCACCAAAAACACCACGTAGTAGGGTTGGGGTGTTTTCAAGTAACCCGTGTGCAGCGGTTACAGGTCAGCTCTATGGTTAGTGCTGGTGGTAGAGGGGTGGGTGGGAGGAAGCAGCCGAAAGGTTCATCCTATTGCCCTTCGTCTTGTTTTAGACACATACGTTTCACAACCAAGGTATTAATGCTTATAAATACCCCTTTAATGGAAGCAAACTTTGGAGAAGGATAGGATATGGGTGTCCAATCTGCATGCTTCTGTGTCATAGTGAAGAAGCTCTTCCCTGTGAAGGTGCTGAGGCGCTGGCACAGGGTGCCCAGAGAAGCTGTGGCTGCCCCATCCCTGGCAGTGTTCAAGGCCATTGTACAAACATCCCCAAAACACCCAACCATCTCCCCCACTGTTCCTGGCAGCCACAGGGACTGTTTTACTACAAACACCGTTTTCCATCTAACAGAGTTACAACCATTAACAAGGATTCAGCCGTCGCTTTGGACACTGAAGCGGTGCGGTGGTGAGAACACGTGGACCCTAAAGGAGCTTTCTTAATACTGATGATAGAAGTGTGGATGTAGTTGGCTATGAATGTACTGAAGGGGAACAGAACAACTCTGAAGTGCTGCAAATGTGTGCAGGGACAGTATTTCAGCACGAAAATGTAAGTGTATATAGAGAATAAGTGGGGTCAGTGATTGGGTAAAATGTGTTTTAATGAAGAATGAATGGTCAGAACTCCCATAAATGAGAATGAAAGAAGAGATGAGACCAACACAGAAAATAACAACCTAATAAAACACAGAGAGAAACAAAGGTATCAGTGAAAGAAAGAAGGAAACCATTGAAGGAAAATAATTATCACTGCATATAGACCAGGTATCAGAAGAAGGCTAAATGGCAGGGATGAGCAACAGCAAAAAGTACCACTTGATGTTGAGAGGGGCTCAGGAATAGAGAAAGCAAAGAGCAAAGGCATTCCTTGGGAAAATACAGGTCTAATTATTATCTTCTACCAGAAGGGAACGGTGGGCGCAGGTTGGATGGAGAAATGAGACCAGGAATAGTGGGAATAATACAGTTGGGTCATCACCCGACATTGAAGCTGAGTGTGGGTGTTGGTGGGGAGCAGGGTGCTACTGAGGAGGGTGTTTTGGAACAGAGTGGAAACAATTGGATTTATTTGCCTTGAGCAGAAAGGGATTGTGTTCATGGAAACACCATTTTATCTGTCCAAACTCGTGTGTCTGAGTGTCTCACCAGCTCAGTGCTGTTACCACCGATACCGTGCAGACCTCTCAATCCAGTGGAATCTCTGCTGCAATCGGGACAACTGACATGCTTTCAGGAACAAGCCATAAGACAGGGTAGGAAACACATCCCAGAGGCTTTTGCTTATCATGGATAATTTGGTTTCTGTGGAAAATACCAGCCCTTTCTCTCCTGTGCCTGTTCTCTGCTGCTGTGAGTGGGATCCAGGAGAACGTGCTATATCCAGAGGGAACTGCATTCCGAGCAGTGAGGATCTGAACTTTGCTGGGGCTGATGAGCACATCAGCTCTCTTCTACACAGAGTAAAGTTGAAGGAAAACAAGGGAGAGTTACCCTGTCTGCAGGCCATTGTCAGGGCCATGGGGAGGAGGAATTATAGAGAGGATTTTGCCATTTGAAAGGGCCTTGATCTCTGGTTGTCCAAGGCACGTCTGTGGTTTGAGTCTTGTTTTCAGTGGCCAAGTTTACCAGAGCAGCTCCTGGTCTTCCTCTCCCTTTCCTTTCTCTACAAGGCCACAGGCAATGGAATCAGCTATCTGAGATTAAAATAGCCCTGCCAGAAGGACATTCAGTGCCGAGGGAAACCTCCAAGGAATGCTGGTACCTGATCAGAAGGAGCCAAAAAAGACAGCGAAAGAAGCAAAAGACAAAGAGAGAATAGGGGAAGACTTGGTAGTGCAGCTCAGAAAGAAGGTCTGCAGGTTTTCTGACCCCTTTGAATGAGCCTTGGGATGGGTAACGAACACTGAAATAAAGAATAGCTGATTTCTGTTGTGTTCAGGGAAAAACTGGTTTGCATGGTTTTTATTAACAAGCCACACTGGCATAGAAGAAGCAATCCTGATTATAGTCATTATCTCCAGTCAGCAAAAACAACTGGCAAGGGACCGCATTAGAGCGACTATGGAGGCTGAAAAGAAGCAACAATAGTGGCAAGTGTGCCTCAGATATTAGATCAAGGAGGAGCCTGTGCAGTCACAGCTGTATTCTGTAAGGATGCTTGGACCCGGCTACAAAACAAGCCACTGCTTACAGACACGGGGCTTTTGATGAAGAATGAAGGGGGTTTCTGCAAGCTATGAGTATAATAAACCTGGCCTCATAACATCACTGCTGTAGTTAGAACCGGGTCAGTAACGAGTGCTTTAGCTCTGGCAGTTGTCAGGCCAGGACATCTCAGCATCATTATGGCAATATTCACATAAGAGAAAGGAGGGATGTTTGGTTATGCTCATGCTTTGCTCAGATTTGTATGAAAGCTTTCCTTTCCTCCTTGCTTCCTTCCTTTCCTTTCTTTCTTTCTCTTTCCCCTTGAAGTTTGACGTTGGATATAGAGGACGAAGAACATATTAGTGTTATAGCGTGTGCCTTTTATCCCTGGAAAACAGAGTTAAAAATAGAAGAATCTCTACTAAGGCATGAAGAAAATGACTTACCAACAGCAAAACTGTCAGCAGGCACCTGGAGGCTGAAAACAAAGCTCAGTTCCAGTAGAAACTGAGAACACTGGAGCATTCCTGGAATCAACAGGCGTGTTTGGGTAAGATAACACACGTTCCTTCAGCTGCACAGAAACTTTGTTCTGAAACTTTCTTGCTATGCAGCACAATGATTATTCCTGAATTGCTGACTCCTGGTCCTTTTGTGGTTATTTTGTTAAGAAGAAAATCCTCACCATGAAGCAAAGAAGCTTTAAACTGTGACCTGCTGCAGTTTGAGAAGTGAAGGCATAGAACCATGGAATGGTTTGGGTTGGAAGGGACCTTAAAGCTTCTTCCTTATCCCCAACCTGAACTTCCCCTGTTTCAGTTTGAACCCATCACCCCTTGTCCGATCGTGTATAATGAAGACAATGGATGGAGTCTTCTGGCACTGCCAGAGAAGCAGCATCTGAGACTGCCCAGTACCAGTAAGGGAGTTTTCCACTAGGGCCTCAGTTAATGTGCTGCTCACACACCTCGAGGGGAAGTATCTCAATCCCTCACATATGTCTGGAAGTGGAAAGAGCTCGTTACAAGAGAGGTTCCCTCTGTTCCTGCTCAACTGGCACCGCAGCCCCTCAGCTGCTCCACAGAGCACTGGGCTGCCCCGCATGGGGCCAGCAGGATTTATCAGCAGGAACCAAACCCCACAGCTTCTGGATGAAACCCTCACCCAGCGAGGCACATCTCACTGGTACAGACTTGGTGGCGAACAGGTGATGGGACACAAAGAGTTTAGTTAAGAGGTGTGCATTTCCTTAGTTCCTTTTGCATACAGAGGTTCACATTTTGTATAGAGCTGTATCTAGGAAGCAGAACTTGGGGTGGAAATAAGTAGCATTCAAAGGCGACACTTTATACCATCCTCTACCATATACACATTCAGGTATGATTTGTATTTCAAGCTTTACCCCAGTAAAAGCAGCAGGCACTGGAAAGCCACGGAAACCTTCTGTGAAGCACAGGGTCAATATGAAATGCAGAAACAAGTGCTGGTTATTCTTCTCTGCTATAAACATAGTGGGAAAGAGACACGGGAAGGGGAAAAAAGGTTTGAGCCAATTACCAAGGGGTTTCCTAAGTTTCTGAGTCTTTCATCATTCGTTCATTCGTTCATTCGTTCGTTCGTTCATTCCCTTTTCCTCTTGAAGAAATACCTCCATGACCTCCATTTATTAAGGTTAACAGGATTTGGATATACTGATGGTGCTTCCTTTACATTCACTTGGTTGTTGGGCACTTAGGTTGTTTTCTATGTCACCCTAAACCAGAGGATACCAGAGGAGTCAGAAAGCAAGGGAGGTGATGTGGTTAACCAGAAAAAGACACTCCAGACTCTTTCAGTGTGGGGTCACCATGTGAAGGAAGGAAAAAAATGAACCAACATTCCTGCTATGAAGGGTGGTGAGGCACTGGAATGGGTTGCCCAGGGAGGTTGTGAATGCTCCATCCCTGGCAGTGTGTTCAGGGCCAGGTTGGACAGAGCCTTGGGTGAGATGGTTTAGTGTGAGGTGTCCCTGCCCATGGCAAGGGGTTGGAATTGGATGATCTTAAGGTCCTTTCCAACCCTAACTATTCTATCTTTCTATGATTCTATAAGGAAACAAGGAACCAACAGTGCTGGAGGGGTGTCCCCTGTGCCAGGATGCACAAGAGCACACAGGGATACTGCTACATTCCCAGGACCCTGGCCTAAAGGGGAAATCACACATTTGGTAGGGAAATAGGAGACAAAAATATCACAGAGACAATCCCAAACATTCCAGCTCTTCCTGAGCTCTGGACCCTACAACATGCTGAAAATCACAGTAGTTATACTGTGCTTCTACTACTTCATTACTTCACAGACCCTTCGTTACCTGGGGTTTGCTAATTTACTTCTCTTTCTTCAATCTTTATTTACTCCCAGTGGGCTCTAGGGAGCATAGGGGAATGCTGGGTGCTGTATGTTAGGGAGCTGAAGTCAATACTGAAATGACCTGTACGGAGCTACAGAGCTCGCCCAGCTCTGGGATTCCCTAAGGGCAGCACCCCGCTTCCATTATGGATTGTGTGTGTCTGGTTTCCATGTGGGCTTTATTTAGTTTTAAATAACATTTTCCTTTACAACAAGCACAAGCACTGTGAGACAGCCACAGCCCATAAACCCGCTCTTCTTTGCCCGAGTTCTACAGCTACATCACAACAGAACATCCAGAGTGTGTCAGACAGATGCCCTTCACAGCAGAGGCAGGAGCAGGGGTGAGAGCTGAGTTTATGGGTTGGTTTGTGAGGGATGGTTTTATCCTTTAGAAACACCAAAAGCAGCAAAGGAAGCACTGAAATCAAGGCACAGGAAGAGAAAACTGAAGTAAATGTGTGTGCTTGAGAAGCTGATTTTGAGCAAAAGCAAGTTTAAAGAGGGAATGGACTTACTAATGCTAAAAACACCTTTTACAAAACCCCATTACACAAATGTCCTCAGTTGAATTCCGCAGCAATAAGCATGTCCTAACAAATACTGGTGGTCTCATCCCTTGTGTGCTCAATATAGTGATAACTGTAGCCAAAGTGTTTGCCTGCACTGTATTAACACACACGTCTTTGACAAAAGCCAAACTCCTGGTTTCATGGCTGGGGAGGGATGTTTGATCCAGGATTCCCTGTTCTGGACTGATAAGATTTTGTAGAGAAAGATACAGTTTTCATAATGCCAAACTACAAAGCCAAACCTCCCATTTCAGTGTGGCCAAGGAGAAGGGAACATCACCCTGCTCGGTACCAAGGGCTGAGATTCATTCAGCAGGTCAGTCCACAAGCAATTATCCTTCCAAAACCCTGGAAAACCTAATGTCGGAGTAACGATCCTTCAAAAACAACCAGGTGCAAAGAAATGTGGCAAGCAGCCTCTGTCCTAACACTACACAACTTACTGATCCTTCCACTCCAATACAAATGGCAAGATGAATGGAATGGTGGAGGGAAGCAGAGCAGTGAAGAGGTGATGGATTACTATGAATGATGCAGAGATTGTCAGTTGTGGAAGCACAGCTCTGTACATGGGGTTGTGTAATCCCAGCAGCAGCAGCAGCAATGCCAGACTGGGGGTGACAAAGCAATGTCATCTCCTTCGGCCAAGTCAACCTGCGGCCTCTGAGACTTGCAGACAGCACCATGTCTTGTTTTCAGCTTCATTAGGCAGGCAGAGCAGGTTGCTTGTGGTTTGGGTGTCCGAAGCACGTTAGCAGACAGCCGTAAGTGAATGAACCAAACCAAACTATGCACAGCCAGGGGCATTCGGGAGAGATGAAAACCTTCCACAGCCGAGATGCTCTTAACACCAAACTTACATGCACGAACCAAGCTGAGGCAGACCTGGACTGTGAGCTCTCATACACTGGCATCAATCTGCACTAAAGACCAGAGAAGTTCCCTCAACGCTGCCACTAGTGTGACCCTGGAACTTGCTCCATGGCCTCTGGGTGGGTCTCTGCTCTCCAAGCAGTCACAAGGAAGGGGTGACCTCCAAAATGATGGGAATTGCACACTTTGGAGTAGACACAAAGAGGCTTGGTCTCTTTGGAAAGACTCTTCTGTTTTACCATCAAGAACACCCAGGTCCGAAACGCTCTTCCCTTCCGCAGGCTGTAGCACCCCGAGTCCTTACCAAGGTGGGTCTGGGGCAGATGGAGGTGTTGCTCTCACTGGTAGTGCAGCAGCTCCTCCCAGCGAATGGGCTGGGAAAACACCTCCCTCTCCAGCCACAGTTCATAGGAGTAGTGGAAGTCCTTGGGGAGCTCCAGCCTCTGTCCCAGCACGCTCTGCAGGCAGTTGTCCACCGGTGCAAACTCCGAGTCCTGAGGCTTGTCGTACCTGCGGCTGTTGAAGGCTTCAATGTTGGCTCTCAGGGTGCATTCTTCCGCCTGGAAATCCCATGGTCTTGCATCAATATCTGCCTCGAAGGAGAAACAAGACCAAAGGGTTGTGGAAAAAATAACTCTGATCAACTTGGAGCAAAAGTAGCGCTAGGACAAGGGGTGATGGGTTCAGACTGAAACAGGGGCAGTTCAGGTTGGAGATAAGGAAGAAGCTCTTCCCTGTGAGGGTGCTGAGGCACTGGCACAGGGTGCCCAGAGAAGTGGTAAATGCTCCATCCCTGGCAGTGTTCAAGGCCAGGTTGGACAGAGCCTTGGACATGGACTAGTGTGAGGCATCCCTGCCCATGCCAGGGGCTTGGAACTGGATGATGTTAAGGTCCTTTCCCACCCAAACCATTCTGTGAGTCTGTGATTCTATCAAAAGAAAGGTTGAAGATTTTACAGCAACCACATGAATTGACCAGAGCATTAGCCAGTTATTCCTAATTATTATTCTGAATCATTCTCATCATGTATATATTATAATTTAAGGTATTTAAATGCAATATGTTAAAATCACGTGTAAATTAAGCAGTCAGAAAGCTTCCTATAGAAATGCAATAATTCCTGCTCTGCTTTAAGCACTTTTCTGTCAGTACCAACCGCCTGCTTTTTGCAGGAAAGGCCCCACCACTATTCCTGAAAATCTCCATAGATGTCTGAAGCAGAGATTGGGATTTAATGCTAAAACCTGGTGAGCTCATGACGAGCTACTGACAACTCATTTTGCTTAGATTTGGACAAGTAGAACTACACATGATGCTAAAAAGCTGACAACTGCCTGCAATAGCCACGCCGCCTTAAACCTGTAACGTTCGGTACATGTGCAACGTGGACCCATTAGTATTTCCAAAGCTGGCCTTTCTGAGCTCTAAATCTATATGGAACAGCCCTTTGCTCCATAAAGGCTCAGTACATTCATTGGCAAAGCTCAGCCATGCTCGAGGGAGGGGGAGGTCCGAGCTGAATCCAGACAGAAATAAACACTCCAGGAAAAACCCTTCCAGCTCGTGCCTCCGAGAGCCAAGTGCTTCCCTGGCAGTGTCCAGCTCAGGAGGCAGCCTCCATGCAGTGAACTGTGCAACGGAGTGCTGCATTATGTTGGGGATCAACTCCTTTGGGTGAAGAGGGACACACGGAGCACTTTATGCTTTGCATCTGCCTTAAAATCGCGGTATTCCCAGTATTGCCATGTCAGCTCCATTGTTCGGGCAAACCCTTGCTCCAGGGCAGCTGACGTGGGTAAGTCTTCTCCTGCTGCTTTGGCACATGTAGAGCTCAAGCTATTTAAGTCCCATAAGGCAGGTGGTATCCTGTTAGTGGCAAAAAGAAGCCCTTCTGGTGTGCTATATCCCACAGGGAACCACCAGCACGTGAGAAAGGCAGGACAGAAATCCCAGTAAAAGGACAGAAGGAAATCCCCACTCACAGAATCCCAGACTGGTTTGGGTTGGAAGGGACCTTAAAGCTCATCCAGTTCCAATCCCTGCCACTGGCAGGGACACCTTCCACTAGAGCAGCTTGCTCCAAGCCCCTGTGTCCAACCTGGCCTTGAACACTGCCAGGGATGGGGCAGCCACAGCTTCTCTGAGCACCCTGTGCCAGCGCCTCAGCACCCTCACAGGGAAGAGCTTCTGCCTAAGAGTTCATCTCAGTCTCCCCTCTGGCAGGTTAAAGCCATTCCCTTTGGCCTGTCCTTACAGGCCCTGATGCAGATTTCCTCTCTGGAATCTCCAGAGTCAGTCCCTTCATGTAGGGAACTCCACTATCCTTAAAGTGAAATTAAAAGTATCAAGTCTAATGTTTAACTCTTCTGTATTAATGTCACAGTGGTATCATTGGTACCAAAAGCACAGAGGGCTTCAAACATTGATTTCTATCTTTTACAGTTGAGCACCCTAACATAGTGCTTTCCTCTCTCATAAAGAAGATAGGAGGCTTTTAATTCTGATTTCTTTTGAAGCAGGAATGCTGCCCAATTTTTCTACTTAATTGTTATTAAGTAGGAGATGCAGAGCAGAAATGTAAGTCTGTCTTATTGAGGTAAAAAGATATTTTAATACTTTCTACTCCTGTCTTGTAGAGTCACAGAATGGTTTGGGTTGGAAAGCACCTTAAGATCACTCAGTTCCAGCCCCCCTGCCATGGGCAGGGACACCTCCCACTAAACCATGTCATCCAAGGCTCTATCCAACCTGGGACTGAGCATTCACAACCTCCCTGGGCAACCCATTCCAGTGCCTCACCACCCTTACAGTAAAGAACTTCCTCCTTATATCCCATCTAAACTTCCCCTGTTTAAGTTTTAACCCATTCCCCCTTGTCCTTTCACTACAGTCCCTAATGAAGAGTCCCTCCCCAGCATCCCTATAGGCCCCCTTCAGATACTGGAAGGCTGCTATGAGGTCTCCGCACTGCCTTCTCTTCTTAAGTTTGGGTCTGTTGTTGCAGCAACTGAGTGTACCTACATGGGAATACAAATACGTGGTCTGATGCATCCCATGGATTAATACATGAGGAACATCAGAAACTGCATCAAACCCCACAGCTTTAGACTAGGTAAGAGCTGCTTAAACAGACCAGCACATCTAGGCGGAGCTCAAGGATTCCGAGCACCCACAGTGCTGGGACACAAACGCTGTTGTTTCTCAGGTGTGATCTGCAGAGCCATCGGTCAGATTATCACCCCATGGCCATCAGAAGCACACACATGTGGTGGGATTACCAATGTCATTTAGCATCCTGATGGCCAAAGTGAGTTGGGAATGCAAAAACCACACACCTGGGCTTGGTAGAAACTCATCTTGGAGACCCAAGCCGACTGTGCCCATCGCAATCTGATTATTCCCACCTTTCGTCATGCCAACAATTTGTTCCCGCCTGATGGCGCTGAAAGGTGCCTTAAAGCTTCAGAAATCAATCCCCAACACTGACCCAGAGAAGTTTATGGGATCCAAACCACCACAACCCCCCTGTGATCCAACTGCAGCTCCACATGCAGGGGGGATGCTTCCCAGCACTACTCACCGTTGCCGTAAGCCCAGTCGTCGTTCATGCGGTGCCGCACCTTCTGGTAGATGGCTGACATGGTTTTCATGTTGCTCTTCCTCCACTGGCGGCCCAGGTATTTGGTCTGGATTTTCAACAGCTTGAGGACATAGAGCTGCATCATGGCCTGCTTCACCTTCAGAGCTCGCTTCAGTATCGGGGCTGACTTAAAGACTACCAGCATCTGTCAAGAAATCAGCACGGATTGATGCAGTGTGTTCAAGGAAGCCATGTGAGCACTGCCTGTGAGGCTTCTTTGGGCATGAACACCTGTGACACAAATGGTCCAAACCCCTAGCAGGAAGAACAGGAGGGTTCAACATGATCAGAGGGCTGGAGCAGCTCTGCTCTGGAGCCAGGCTGAGAGAGCTGGGCTGGGTCAGCCTGGAGAAGAGAAGGCTCCTGAAAGGGAGACCTTAGAGCAGCTCCAGTGCTTAAGGGGGCTCCAGGAAACCTGGAGAGGGGCTTTGGACAAGGGCCTGTAGGGACAGGCCAAGGGGAATGGCTTTAACCTGCCAGAGGGGAGACTGAGATGAGCTCTTAGGCAGAAGCTCTTCCCTGTGAGGGTGCTGAGGTGCTGGCACAGGGTGCCCAGAGAAGCTGTGGCTGCCCCATCCCTGGCAGTGTTCAAGGCCAGGTTGGACACAGGGGCTTGGAGCAAGCTGCTCTAGTGGAAGGTGTTCCTGCCTGTGGCAGGGGTTGGAGCTGGAGGAGCTTTAAGGTCCCTCCCAACACAAACCAGTCTGGGATTCTATGAACATAACCAACATTTGCTGCCTGCAGCTTATGGGTCATAGAAATCAGTGTTGTTTGCAGACCAAATCCTACTTCTGCATTTATAGCTCAATCTGTGACAGAAAAATGAGCACATGGTGAAGCAGCAGAAGCTCCAGCACTGCCAGAACAAGCTCTCAGCAGGGAGGCTGGGCTGAAGCCCACAGCACAGAGCCAGGACACACTCGAGGTTCAACACTGGCAGCACACAGCAGGGCTCAGGAAGGCCGGACATCCCCTCACCATCGTCCTTGAGTGCTTCCACTTGGTCAGCTTGTTGAGAATCCTCAGCAAGTTAATGCAGGAGAATAAGTTTCTCCAGCAGAACTGGTTGTTGTCTCCAGCTTCCTGCAAGGGGAGAAGGAAAAGCTTAACCCTAGTGCAGGGTTCAACAGCACCGCCACAGTGATGCCCTTGTGCAGAAAACCTTCCCTATCGCTGCCTGCACAAGTCTCATTTCTGCTGGAGATGAGCAGAGGAGCTGCCTCCTCGCTTGGCTTCTCATCAAGCTGCTGACAAGGCAGGAGATTCCAGGGAAACCCATTCAGAAAGGCTGGGATGCGATCAGCATGTTGAGTCAGAGCTCAGATAAATCACATTATCCCAGCATGGGAAACCTCCATTGTGGTACATTTGAATTCCTCGTTTACAGCCACAGAGCACATTACAGCGCTCCCCAGTGCTTAGAGGGCAGGTTTGGTCAGTTATATAGCATTAATTCATGAATTACCACATGCTTGGTGGACATATTACAGCCAAATAGAAGGGAATCACACAACCACGCAGGGTGACACAGCAGGGGCTGCATCAGGACAAGGCTTGGCTGTAACAAAGATCAGCTGGAGGGCAGCTGATGGATTGCTTTAGATATCGGTTTAATAGAAGCACCCCAAGCCCCAGCTTGTATTAACAGTGCCTGTGAGCAGCAATTCCATCCCTGCAGTAACTCAGTTTATGTCTGAGCAGCACCAAGCACAGCACAAGTGTCCCCTCTTTGGGGATGAGGCTGGGAAGAGGTTACAGCAAGCTCCAGCCTTGACAACGCACGGCAAAACAGCAGCCTGGTGCGGGCTCCCCGTTCTGGGCATCCTCGGGAGGAGCTCCTCCTGTCAGTGGTGTCAAACCCAGCTTTGAAACGTGATTTACCCACAGTAAACCTGCCAGCCTCAAGCCTTTGTTCTTAAGCACCGAACCATCGCTTCAGTAAGCCAGTAAAATGCTTTTGTACGCAGAATGTTTAGAGGCAAACTAAGGCAGAGGCACTTCTTGTTCACTTAATGCTGGGAGCTGGTAAAAGCCACCCTGAGCAAGCACCTTCCTGCCAGCAGAGGCTGTGCCTGTGCTGGAGGCTCCTGTGCACAGGAGCGGGGATGTCACTGAGGTGCCCATGGATGCTGCACGCGGCTCTGGGGGTGCCAGCTCAGGAGCAGGGGCTGTGCAGTTTCATACCTGTGCCCGCTCCTAATCTGCTCCCTCTGCACCAAGTAGGTTTCCAAACAGACCCCAGGAGAACAAGCGAATTCCCATCTCATGGGCCGCTGGGTTTATTTCTGTCTCCCGTGTCACGTTGTCTCTATAGCTTCAAGTGAGAGTCTTTCCATCTGCTGCCTAAAATCTCATCTCAGTCTCCCCTCTGGCAGGTTAAAGCCATTCCCCCTTGGCCTGTCCCTACAGGCCCTTGTCCAAAGCCCCTCTCCAGCTTTCCTGCAGCCCCTTTAGGCACTGGAGCTGCTCTAAGGTCTCCCCTTCAGGAGCCTTCTCTTCTCCAGGCTGACCCAGCCCAGCTCTCTCAGCCTGTTTTAACCATCAGCGAAGAAACGAGTTACAGCTGTGATGTTAAAAATCACTGCATCAGAGTGTTCAAAAATCACTAAAACAACACCTAAAATGCTGGCTGAAGAAACACGAACACGTGCGCAAGTGCATGCTCCTTCCTAACAACTCCTGCATCGTTTATGGTCTCCCTTCCCTCTGATCCTCCTCCCTGCTAACTCCAAAGCTTGTCCTTGCTTTATGTTTAACTTTTACTGTCTATTAAATCCTTACATTTGTGGGTGTCCTCCCAAAGATGGACGCAGGTGGTAAAATTCAAGTTGGCTTCCTCATATTTCCTAATGAAATCAGTCTCCCATGAAGCTAATACCTCGATGCGCCCATGAGGCACTGTCCATTGATGCCCCAGCTCCCAAACTGGGAACTAGGCCCTACTGGGAAGGGATAACTGGGAATATTTTCCCTAAGAAGCTCAGTCTTCTACAGCCATAAAGCTGATTGTAAACGTTAAGGGTTAGCGTGGGGCACCGGAGCAGGCAGCGATGTGTCACTAGATGTCCCCATCGGGCCAGGAGAGGATTGCTGGGAGCCTGGCAGGGCTGGAGGAACGGGAGCCTGGGCAGGACAGCCAGCCCCCAGCATGGAGCAGCACGGAACAGTGCACTGACCCCTTTGGTAAGGAGGGAGGTGATGGCCGGGAGCTGTCGCCCAGAGCAGGCACCCAAAGGGAGGCAAGAAGCGCTGGTGGGAAGGTGGTGGGACAGTGGTGAGGAACCAGCACACTGCCCGTGTGTGAGGATGCGCTGGAACTGCCCAGAGAAGCTGTGGCTGCCCCATCCCTGGCAGTGTTCAAGGCCAGGTTGGACACAGGGGCTTGGAGCAAGCTGCTCTAGTGGAAGGTGTCCCTGCCCGTGGCAGGGGTTGGAGCTGGAGGAGCTTTAAAGTCCCTTCCCACACAAACCAGTCTGGGATCTCATGGTCCCACACCTATCCACAGCCACAACAGGGTTTGATATAAAGTTGATGTGGCATAATGAGCTCACAGCAGGGATTTGCATCACAGCGGCACATCAGAAACACTGTGGCTACAGATCCAATGAAACCAGTTTGGCTCTGCTGGCTGAGCTCTGCCTTGAAGGGGTTCAGGAGTAACTTTGGCTCACAGGAACAAGGGAAAATCACTTATTTAAATGATTTTTGCCCTATATGCTGCTAAGGAAAACAACACAGGCTTAAGATGTTAGCAGCCAGGCAAGATGAGAGCATCCCTGCAGAGACTGGCTTGGGTCAGGCCCTTTCCTAATGATCCCTGCATCATTTATGGTCTCACTTCCCTCTGCTCCCTCTCCCCATTAACCCCAAAGCTTTCCCCTGCTCTGTTCCCTCTCCAAGTCCACCCTTCTCTGCACTTGAATTACTGCAGGTAGGAACCCACCAGCATTAATGTCTCCTCTGTAGTGTGTGTATCCACACAGCTCATTGTGCTGGCTGGTGTCCATAACACTTAGGCTCTTCTCTATGACACCCACGCTCCTCTCCATAGGGAATTTGGTTCATTCCTTAATCTACTGGCCTCTTAGGAGCACTCCCAGCAATTTAAACCTGGGAGGCAATGGCCTTTGGGCAAATCCTTTTAAAAGAAGCTGGTTCTCTCTTGGAGAAGCCAAAGGGGAAACTCTAAACCCAACTATTACATGGGGTGCACAACACCAGCACTGCCTCCTCCTCATAGTGAGTGATGGGAGGAGTTGTCAGGTCTGGAGGGGAAAAAAAAGTCTAGTTTTGGGAATGTTTGGGATTACAGTAAAAGGAAGATAGAAAAGAGGAAGCAGAAATCCTTCCTCACCCTCTCACATACAGCAGTACTAGTTAATAGGACCCTGTCTGTGCTGCTTACCAGGCTTTCTGCAGTGAGCTCGGGCAGGTCATAGACTGTACAATGAGGATAATCCAGGACAGAGATGCTGTGGAAGGTGGGAAAGAAGGGACTTGTTAAAACCAGGTACACACGAAAGCAGCTTTTGATGATCTCCATGATTGTGCCCAGCAATGTGTAACTTCACTGTCCCTGCGGCTGGAATTGCAATGGCAGCGCTGCCTTATGCAGCAAGGAGTTTGGGCTGGGAGGAATCCCATCTCCACACTGGGCATGTGAAGCAGCCTGAAGCCAGTGCCATGGATGTGCTTCCGTCTGCATTCCAACTACACGGATGGCATCCAAATGGGCTCCCAGCCTCACCACTGTCTTGTGGCTCAGCTTAATGGAGCATGTTGATTCCTCCTGGCTCCAATGCACATCCTGAGTACCTTAATAGGGACTCGAAGGATTTGGATCCATTAAGACATGATAGATCAGTTTTTCATATACGTATTTAACAAAAGGAAGGAAACCCAACAACAAAACAGGTCTTAGGGTACAACGGGGACATCTGGTTTCCGGCAGGAGCAGTTGAACCTCCCTGGATCACAGCATCCAGCAGCAAACCCAACGTCATTTTCCACGTGCGTATCCTGCCTGTGCAGCCTCCATCAGAAAGCAGAGGAGGGAGCAAAGCGCTCCTGAGCTATGATCCCTCATCACTTAGGTGATGTTAAGGCACAGAACCGAAAGCAGAAGTTATTATTACCAAGTGAATCAATATATTGCTGTTTTTCATGCGGGCCTTCTTCCACTGACCTGCAGTAACCAAGCCAGCCCCTACACAGACTTAACACGGCCAGAGGTAAGAAACACCTATGCAAAACCTGAAGAAGCCAGGAAAGATGAATTATAGGCAGTACAAAGGACCTAGAACACTCCATCCCATCTGGCCTTTTGGAAGCTGTGGCCCGCAGATGCCCATTGGCACTGGGCTGCTCTCCAGGAGTCCATGTAAAGATTAAAACAAGCCCCCTGCAGCAAGGGAGACAGGTCTGTGTGTATTGCAGTAGTCCAGTGAGAGACTGGGAACCCCCATTCGGTCCTGCCCATTAACCAGGAGGGATTTGCTCCCCTACAGCACATTCCTGTAGTGGAGAGTGTATCCCCCAAAGCCACGCTAGGGACCAGAGGTCACTTGGTCCCACCACGTGTGCACATGTTAGGGTTCCTCATGCACAAAGCCCCCCTTCTCCATCACCTCCCTGTTCCCCAGAGGTGGTTGTACCTGTTTTTGGCAGTGATATAAGACAGGATGTTTTGGTTGAAGAACTTCAGGATCAGCGGGATGCAGTTGGCAAACACCAAATGTTGGGACACGTACTCAAACTGAGGAAGAGAAGTGAAATGGGTCAAAGGTTTGCTAGAATAACTGGGAGCATCACCTGGGAATGGAAACCCATTTCCAGCAAGGAGTAAAGGAGTCTTGGTGGTTTTCTCTAGAACCTCACAGGCCATCTGCCCCTTGCAGAAGCTGCTGTATAAGGTTTGCATCATGTACAGCAGCTCCCACCAGATGGAAAACTCTTTCTGCATAGAGTGGGCACACATAGAGTAGTGTAGAACCCCAGACTGGTTTGTGTTGGAAGGGACCTTAAAGCTCATCAGTTCCAACCCCTGCCACAGGCAGGGACACCTCCCACCAGAGCAGCTTGCTCCAAGCCCCTGTGTCCAACCTGGCCTTGAACACTGCCAGGGATGGGGCAGCCACAGCTTCTCTGGGCACCCTGTGCCAGCGCCTCAGCACCCTCACAGGGAAGAGCTTCTGCCTTATCTCCAACCTGAACTTCCTCTGTTTCACTTTGAACCCATCACCCCTTGTCCTGTCACTCCAGTCCCTAATGAAGAGTCCCTGTCCTGCATCCTTGTAGCCCCCTTCAGACACTGGAAGCTGCTTCCAATGCTGACCCAAAAGCAGAATTGGGGAGAAACCCCCCCCAGCCTTCTCCAGACTTAGCCACAGACCGCCAGGGTCCTGCCATGGAGGAATAATGAGAGGAGCTGGTTTGGGACTGAAGTGAGAAAAATCAGTGAAGGCATCTGGGGCACCCAGAGCCAATGTAGGGTTGTGAAGAAGTGGGGGCTTGTTTCATTTATCCAATTCAATATGTAACATTTAGCTATCATCAATATATACTATTTAATCCACTCTAATGCTCAGGTAACTATCCATGGGCCTCCCAACACAGGCGTGTTTGCACCATGCCGAAACCTTTACAAGAAAGGTAAAACCATTAAAAACTCATTGTTTGACTTGGAAAATGGTGGGAAGTGGGCCCAGGCCACAGCTCAAAACCCTCATGTGGGTGCAGTTCAATGGGTGCCAAGCAGATGAAACAGAAATCAGATTGCATCTAAGAGCCTGTGTTGAAAATGGAGCCCAAGCACTTGATCCCGTCGAGGGACCCAGGACCAGATTAGCTGACCCCATGAGGTCCTGCCCAGCTCTATTTCTGGTCACTGGAGATGACAGAGCAAAAGGCAGCCTTGTCTAACCCCAGTCCCCTTCCCCCTCGATCAGGGAGGTTTGTGCTTGTGATAGCTCCCAGATCAGCCACGTTGTTTGTCCAGAACCTGGAAAACTCCTTCCATGCGAGTGGAAACAATCCTGCCAAAACACAGTCTGAGACACACTGCAGCAGGTTATCCCTGCCTGCAACCCTATCCCTAACACAAATCCTGGCCCACAACCAGGATTCACTGCTATGGAAAGTGATCTGCAGCTCCTCATGGAAACCCATCCTGGAGAGGTCTGTTTGGAACAGGGTCTATCAGGTCCCAGTGGCTTCAAGATGACTTGGCGGTGGCTGAGCCTCACCTGGTAGATGTGGTTCAGCTTGAGGTGCTTGAGGAGCAGCAGCAGCAAAGCCGAGATGCTTTTCACGATGATCTCTTTGTGTCTGTTCACGTCAATCCCCAGCTTCATGCTCTGGAGAACGGTGATGCTGGGATGGAGGGAAGAAGGCAACAGCACAGTGGGAATGGGAGCGAGGAGGACAAAGGGACTGAGGGTTCATATTCACCTGGACAAGCTCCAGGGAAACGGGGACCTTTGCTTCCCCCTTGGATTCTCATTTCAGAGAATCCCAGACTGGTTTGGGTTGGAAGGGACCTTAAAGCTCCTCCAGTTCCAACCCCTGCCACAGGCAGGGACACCTTCCACTAGAGCAGCTTGCTCCAAGCGCCTGTGTCCAACCTGGCCTTGAACACTGCCAGGGATGGGGCATTTTCCACTATCCAAAGAGCTATCCCCAAATCTGGAGCCTCCCAAACCTATTGGCAAACCCCAGCTCTCCTGCTCTGCCCAAGACCTCGTGGCAGAGCTGGGATGGATGGTGACCACCCCGTCAGGGACTCACGGCATCTCTTCAGGCAACACATCTGCCAAGATGTTGATGGAGTCAGTCTTGGCTTTGGAGGTGGGAGCTGCAGCCAGGAGGATCTTCAGCAACGCTATCTGCAGGAGAGGGCAGGCAGAGAGGGATGGTCCCAGGATGGGACATTCATTCCTTCCTTCTCCTTCCCTTGCTGGAACCACACAACTTCAAGCCAACTCAGTAGGGCTTCACCAGCCCAAGCTCTGCTCACCGTGATGGACTGACTAAGCCAAGGCTCAGCCTCTCTCTTTATACCCTGCACAGCCAGGACATAAAGATCATCTAATTCCAGCTGCCTGCCACAGGGCAGCGCTGTTCCCCCTCCTCTGCAGACAGCTCATTTTCCAACCACTGACCTGTCTCCAACCATCTGACCGTGTCCCTGTGGATCCACACACCTTGATCCTCTGAATCCCTCCTCCTGGACTGTGCTTTCCACCCAACTCTGCTCTGGATATGCACCAGAATCCCACCATTCCTGTCCATTCAGCCCCATGCTAAGCTCTGAATTCACAGCTTGGCATCGTTCCTCACTCAAAAGCTCTTTGCTTGTAAGAACCACGATCTTACCATATACTGGGGGAGGTTGTACAACATCGCTCGATACAAGACCTCACAGGGGGTTTCCTGGACTTCCTCTTCCCCCTGTAGCAGAGGGAAACATGAGAAACAAGGGAAGATGAAGCACTTCCAGTCCATATGTCAGAAACTCCATCAAACCCAGCCTGAGGACTGGACATAGCTGTCTGCTGGCCGCAGGGAGCTCCAGGCCTTTCTCCACTGCTACATTCGACCAAGATATGGACCTCTAGAATAAAGAGCATCCAAAGTGTGTCCTAAGGATGAGGGAGACATATGGATTTCTGTGACACCTTGGAAACACATCTATCTAGTGCTGGGGTGCAGCAACTTCTTACCAGAGACATGGGGCACTTCTCCAGCTCCTCTTCATTCTTGATCTGGATGTCTGAGATGGAAACGTATTTGTGCTGGCAAAACACACAGACAGAGGCAGAGGAACACCACAAGTGAGGGATGGGACACAGGCAGTGAGGACAACAGTTGCTCATTTCACCTATGTCTGAGTTAGGTGTGTGGAGAACTCATCTTTGTGTGGACATCCCTGTCCCCGAAGCCCCTCACACGATGCCTTTGATTACTTCCACCTACTCCTTCCAGCATCTCCCTGTAAGTAAATGGAGAGGGACAATCTCCAAAAGGTAATCCAGAGCTTAGATAGGGCCAGCAGGCAATTGAAGGTGTCTCATTCCATGTGGAGTGCTCCAGGAGCCAAGGCTGGCCATGCTTCCCCTGGGGAACAGCCCGGCTCTGGGCTTGCATGTCCAAAGCCAGTCTGTCACCTTCAAAGCACATGGTAAATGCTCACCAGGACACAGCAATGCTATATCCCTACACAAAGGGGAAGTCCAAGTGCTGGACAATCCAATTGGAATTGCAGTGAGGACTCAGTTTTCCTTCCTTTGCCCCAATTCCTGCAAGAGCTCCAGAAGCTTTTCCTGGGATGATGAACTAGAAGGGATTTTCTTACTCCCTCCAGTAACTGTGCTCCAGCCATGAGGATCCCACACTGCATGTGCTGGACATCCAGCCCCTCTCAAGCTGTTCGGACCTTGACTGGATTCAGATGGACTTCCCAAGGCAGGGAGGGGAAGAGCTCAGACTGAATGAAGAGGAGTAGAAGACTAAATTCCCATGAAATTCCCATTTATTGTGGGCTGAGAACCTACGTCCTCGGAAGCTGAAACTCCTTCTAAGTCCTGTTTCACTAAGTTGATGTGGATAAGAACCTGATGCCCTACAGTTCCCCATGGACCTTAGTGACCTTGGCCAACGATCCCCATGGGTCTGATCCCACCTCAGAACATCTCCTGAGTGCCAGGGAGCAAAACTAGCAGGGAATGAGGTTAGAGAAGCTGCCCTGCTGCTCAGCGAGGCCTTTTGGGCTGCTGCACCACGCATGGAGCCACCATCTCACCTGCTTCAGGGTCTTCACACTCTCATGGATGGGCCGTGGGAGCCCTATGAGGGTCTCAGTGTCTCTGTGGAGGAGGAAAACAGTAAATCCAAGGCTGGGAAGGGGATCTGTGTTCAAACACTTCCATGGCAGGCAGGGTGAAAGAGGGAGCCTGGAGTCTACTGAATGCATCCCACATGGGTCAGGGGCTGGGAGAGGTGGCCGGAGCTGCCCAACCTCCTCCCAGCAAAGCCTGCACTAGAGAAGAGGACATGAGGGTGAAGAACTGGGGTGAAATCAGCTCTCTGCACAGAGACCTAAAAAGGGCCACACCAGGGTGATTCGATGCATTCAAACTGGGGCATCTGCTGTGGGTACCAGATTGTCCTGACCCTGTCACACATCAAACCCATCTCGGGCTTGGGCCAGGGGTCACCCGTTGTGGGCTAGGTCTCACTTTTAATAGCAAGAGGTGCTTGGGGACCAGCACCTCCAGGAACACGTTTCTATAGCCCCAAGTGCATTGCTGCAGTGAACCCAGCTCTGCCTCGTCCCACCCGTGCCCTGGGCTGGTTGGGGTCATAAACCCTTTGTGGACACCTCTCACCAGTCAGACTGCACTGATGGGAGCCATGGGACAGCCTTGGCTGGACCCACACATGAAACACTCACTGTCCCAGCGTGAATCCGATGAATTTGTTCCTGCTTGATTCCAGGAAATGCTCAATGTCTTTCTGTCTGATGGAGCAAACACAAGGAGAAGGTTGGACTTACAGCACATTGCAGCCTCCACTGCTCAGAAAGGACAGTGTGGGGCCAGCAAAGAGCCTTGGAGCTGTCTAGGATTGATTTCTAGGGGTCTTAATAGTGGCACAGAACCCCCATTGCTCTCATAGGTTGGGATCAACGTGAACTGAAACCAGTTGTCTTTGGTGTGCAACCCCATGGGAGCTGCAAGTAGACGGAGAGGAGCTCTCTACCACCAGTTCCTTCTAATCCACTCTCTACTCCTAGCACATAGAATGAACCAGCTTGGAAAAGACCTTTAAGACCACTGAATCCAAGCTGCCAAGGCCTCCACCGCATGCATCTCCAAGCAGCATCTGCTCCCTCTGAGTGACCAAATGTTGTCTCTGCGGTGTGGCACAGCACGAGCTGCTCCGAGAGCCACCAGGCACCTTGTGCACCTTTGAGCATCATTCATGAGACCCTGCCAAGGGTCTCAGCGCTCCAAGCAGGACATGAAGCCAGAGCCAAGGCTCCCACAGGCAGAGAGAACCCAGCTGGGCTTCAGGCACCAGCCCAGGCAAACAAGCATGAAGTTACATGGAGTGACAGCACCACGCATACGGAGACCCACACGGGACACCAGCTCTTGCTGTGTCCGTGCGAGGAGTGCTCTGGATGGACACGCTTAGCCCCGGCACTGCTCTCACATCAGAAAGATGCTTTTGTGGGTTAAAGATATTGGATTAAATCCAGGTTTTGGATCAACAGCAAAAAAGCTCACTTGGATTAGAGGGATGGGGGCAGAGGTTGTCACCTCCTTTTCCTAATGCGCCCCCATATCATGTGCAGGTCTTAGGAAGGGAAAGCACCAACTTCTTTATCCTTCTTTAAAGATCCTCTTTATCTTTTCTCTCCCAGTTTTCACCTTAGAGCAAGGCCACTTGGGATACCAGAGGCTTTTACCTGACTTTGGGGGCCCAGGGGAGCCCTTTGGGGAATGACACCCTTTCAATAGGCAGGCGCTGAGCCGGCATGGCGGTGATAACCGCATCCCGCTCCATCAGGTCCAGCTCCCCCTCGAGCCCGCTGTCCACATCATCATTCTCCTCTTCATCCACTCCTGCTTCATCGTGCTTGAAGGGGTCTCTCTCGTTGTAGATGTCCAGGCTGTCCTGCTTCACCAGGGGCTGCAGCACAAGGGGAAGGAGAAATTCAAGTCACTCCATGGGTGTTATTTCCCTCCCAGCTGATTCCATAGTGGAAGGATCTAACTCCCAAATGTTCCCCAGATGAGGTTCCCCTCCTAGCTCTTGTCCCCAGAGCCTGGACAAGGAATAACCCTCTCTGTACCTCTAACATTGCTGTTCTAAGAGGTGTGACCCCATTTTCCATCTCAGCTTTTGTATCTACCACCCGGCATCTCTCCCCCAGCAAGAGGCATTTTCATCCTCAGAGCATAGCACAGCAACTCGGAGAGTGGAGCTAAATAAAGACGAGCTTGCTGGGAGCAGTTTGCTTCTTGGTGCTTATCAGCCCTTTGCCATAAGGTCAGGACGTCCTCTCGCTTCCTCTGGATCAAAAGCACCACAGGACTGATCAGCTGCAACTGAAACTGGGTGAGGAGAGGCTCCCCATGACCTGGCTTCAGTGTGTACCTGAGCCCAGAACCCCCCCATGTGCTGGGCTGCACCCCCAGAGCGTGAGCAGCAGCTCAGGGAGGGGATCCTGCCCCTCTGCTGTGCTCTGGGGAGACCCCCCCCTGCAGTCCTGATCCAGCTCTGGGGCAGCAGCACAAGAGGGACGTGGAGCTGTTGGAGCGAGTGCAGAGGAGGCCATGGAGATGCTGCGAGGGCTGGAGCAGCTCTGCTCTGGAGCCAGGCTGAGAGAGCTGGGCTGGGTCAGCCTGGAGAAGAGAAGGCTCCTGAAGGGGAGACCTGAGAGCAGCTCCAGTGCCTAAAGGGGCTGCAGGAAACCTGGAGAGGGGCTTTGGACAAGGGCCTGTAGGGACAGGCCAAGGGGAATGGCTTTAACCTGCCAGAGGGGAGACTGAGATGAGCTCTTAGGCAGAAGCTTCCCTGTGAGGGTGCTGAGGCGCTGGCACAGGGTGCCCAGAGAAGCTGTGGCTGCCCCATCCCTGGCAGTGTTCAAGGCCAGGTTGGACACAGGGGCTTGGAGCAAGCTGCTCTAGTGGAAGGTGTCCCTGCCCGTGGCAGGGGCTGGAGCTGGAGGAGCTTTAAGGTCCCTTCCAACCAAACCAGTCTGGGATTCCCTGAAACTGGAAACATGGGGAGGAAAGGGAACCACGCTCCCACGCACAGACTGACTCTTGACCTGATGATGGTCCCCATTGTCAGCACATCCTGGGCCATGCTCCAGGAGGATGCGGCTGCTCTCACCCTGCGGCTGCGGTGTCCTCCCCGCTTCTGCTGCTGCTGCTCCACCAGCTCGATGGAGCAGGTCGGAGGCGAAGCCGCGCGCATGCTGCGCATCACCTGGATGCTGTCCTCCGGCAGCGGCGGCAGCCCCAGCTCCTCGCGCTTCCGCACCTTCAGCTCCTGCAGGGCTTCAAATCCACCCAGCGTGAACTAGGGACCAAGGGGAGACGTGAGAGAGCCGGAGCAGAGACAGCCCACCCGGGCTGCGCGGCTCTGGGGGGCTTCCAGGGGAGCAGCACGTGGAGGCCATCAAAGTAGATGGATGAAACCCCATGCCATGGTTGAGGATGAAGACACCATGCGCTGGGTCACGGAATCAATAGGACCATAGAACCAGATAGGTTGGGAAAGGCCTTCAAGATCTGCCCCCAAAAGTGGTAAATGCCCCATCCCTGGCAGTGTTCAAGGCCAGGTTGGACACAGGGGCTTGGAGCAAGCTCCTCTAGTGGAAGGTGTCCCTGTCCGTGACCTTACATGATCTTAAGGTTTCTTCCAAACCAAACCATTCCATGATTCTATGACTCCAAATCATCAAGGCCAACCATTCATTCTCCACACTTCTCCCCAACCCCCCATCCCCTGTATGGTTCATCCCGCCCCCATCCCAGAAGAAACTGGTGTCAGCTTCCTGTGCCATCCCAAATAACCTCATTATGGTTGCACAGTGGGGAGCATCCAAGCTGCATATTCCCAAAAGGATCGGTTTCTGGGAAGAAAAGGAAAGGTTTGCACCCACCAGAAGCACCTTCCAGAGCAGGAGCAGAACCTTCCTCATGGGGAAGTGCGGAGCGTGGCCACTGCAGAACTTGGTCACCATCGTGAAGAGCAGCAGAGCAAACGGCTCCTCAGTGTGCACAGGGAAACCTGGTGGGGAGAGGGACCAGGGTCGGAGCGGATTCCCCATCCCCAGTGATCCACACAACGGAGGGACCTCCTTAGGGCACAGTGAACGTTGGGGCTCACTCAGCTCCATCCTGAAGGTCTCCCGGCAGGTTTTCCACTCGGGGGGATCCGTCTCCTGCTCCACTCGGATGTTCTCCACCATCAGGTACATGACGCTGAGCAGCACCCTGCCGGGGCAGCACCGCAGTGGGTGACGCTGCCGGCCCCAGGGGGTCCCTTTGTCCCCATGGCCTCCCCCTTCGCGTGGGGCTGAGGTGGGTACCTGAGCTCCATGCTGTCGGCCAGCGAGATGGCCGGCTTCCGCAGCGCGCTGCTGCAGGCCTGGCTGTTGCTGCGGGGAAGGGGGCACACTCAGAGCCAGCCACGGGCACAGGGTGCTCCTCACCCCCCAGCCCAGCCTGTGTCTGCAGTGGTGGGGACACTGCTGGGGCTGTGGCACCTCCCTGGTCCTCAGTGAGGAGGAGGAAGGGGAAAGGGGAGCGGGGGGGAGGATGGGGAGAGAGAAGATGAAGAGGAGCATCGGGAGGATGGAAGGAGTGTGAAGAGGATGGGGAGATGAGAAGGAAGGTGATGAGGATGGGGAGAAAGAAGGTGAGGAGAAGGAGGGTGAAGAAGACAGAAGAAGAGGGTGAGAAATACAGGGAGAAAGAAGATGAAGAGGAGGGCAAAGGGGAAGGGAGAAGAGGGTGAGGAGGCTGGGGAGGAAGAAGACGAAGGAGGAGGAGGAGAATGGAGAAAGAGGAGAGTGAGAAGGATGAGGAGAGAAGATGTAGGAGCATCAGGAGGATGGAAGAAGAGGAGCATCAGGAAGATGGGGAGAAGATGAGAAGGAGGGTTAGGAGAATGGGCAGAAAGAAGACGATGATGAAGATGAAAGAAGAGGGCGAGGAGTATAGGGACAAAGAGAATGGAAGAAGAGGGACAGAATGATAGGGAGAAAGACGATGAAGAAGTGGAGGGTGAGGAGAAAGAGTAAGATGAAGAAGAGGACAAGGAGGGTGACGAGAGCACGGGCAGTGGGGACCTCTCACTCAATCTCCATGTTGAGGAGCTCCAGGAAGGCAGTGAAGGTTCCCAGCTGGTACAGGAGGAAGCAGTTGTGCCGAGACCAGTGCAGGACATCACCTTCATTATCGCAGTCTCCAAAGACCCCTGGAGAGGCCCAGAGGGAGATGTTGGTTAGGGGAGAGCTGCCTTTGAGCCCCTGGAGCCCACGGGACCACCCTGGGAAGGGGCTTCACTGCAATGACCAAACCCAACGGAAGGCTTCTCCCAAGCCCCCGTGCCAAAGCCAGGCAGCAGATACCCATCCACATCCAGAGCTGGGGAATGTGGTCCTTACCCTGTGCCAGGTACAGGATGGCTCGTGCCACCTTGAGCCTCTTGTCCCTGTTGACCACCTCCAGCCCATCCAGCAGGCGCATGACACAGGCCCTCTGCTGAGCCCCATCCAGCTCCAGCCACCTCCTGCCCTGCGCTGGGAAAGGGACACCACAACCAGGGGTGCCCCCCTGGGGGTCCCCTCGCACCCCGAGCCCCCGAGCTGAGCCCAGAGCTGGTACCTTGAGCATGGAAATCCTCCTCGAAGCATCTCCTGTTGCTGCCGAGCTCGGGCTCCTCGGTGTAGCTGTACAGCTCTGGTGAGGGAGGGGTCAGCAGGGGCCAGGAGGAGCTTCACCCTCCTCTTTACGGCCAAGCTCCTTGGGGGGCCCTGAAGCACCCAAGGAGATGTGGGGCAGAGACCTAAACTTATCCCTGAGCCCTTCTGCAGCTCCAGAGGGCAACTTGGGGACACCCAGTGCTGCCAAACTCCTCATTTTCCTCCCTGTGTCCCCCTTAGAATCACAGAACCAACCAGGCTGGAAAAGCCCTTTAAGCTCATCCAGCCCAACCGTTCCCAGCACTGCCAAGGCCACCCCTAACCCATGGCACTGAGGCCTCGTCTCCACGCTGTGTGAACACTTGCAGGGACAGTGACTGCAGCCCTGCCCTGGGCAGCCTGTTCCAATGCCTGAGCACCCTCTGGGGAAGGAATTGTTCCTCAGCTCCATCTAAACCTGCCCTGGTGCAGCTTGAGGCCGTTTCCTCTTGTCCCATCCCTTGTTCCTTGGGAGCAGAGCCCAGCCCCTCCTGGCTCCATCCTCCTCTCAGGCAGTTGGAGGGAGCCATCAGGTCCCCCCTGAGCCTTCTCTTCTCCAGACTGAACCCCCCAGGTCCCTCAGCCCTTCCCCATCACACTTGTGCTCCAGGCCCTGCACCAGCTCCAGTGCCCTTCTCTGGCCCCACTGCAGCACCTCAATGTCTCTCTTGACCCCACAGTGATGATGCTTGAGCTGCATCTCCAAGGGGCACTTTTCTGTCCCAGTTTGCGCAGGGAGGAACCACAGGAGCCCCCCTGTCACATCCAGCGACTTGGACATTTTGGGGCTGGACTTGGAGGGACCCAACACTGTGCCTGTTCCTATAAATTCCTATACAATCCCCATAGTCCTACAGTGCTGAGCAGCACCAGGAGGGACAGGAATGGTCCCAAAACAGAGGAGGAAGGATCCCTCACAGAGCAAACGTGCTTTAGCCAGGCCAGCGAGCTCAGCCCCGACACTCACAGCTATAAATAACCCTTTGCTGGGGGAGCGCAGGGTGACGGGGCAGTCCTGCAGCAGGAGGATACAGGATGAGGCCTCTGCCCCTCGCGACGCCCACGATAACGGGTGACATTCCCCAGCCTGGACACGTCACCCCTGCACCCCTGTGTCCCGGCAACCCCGCTGTCCCCACACGTCCCTTGTGCTCATTGCCTCTATTAATAAACGCCTCCTGCTCTATTATCACCAGGATGATACCACCCGACATCCATCCCCCATCCCGGGAGCCCAATTCCCCACGGGAATTTTCCCTCCCCAGCAGGCACCTATTAATAGCAGCACAGCACCAAAGCCCATCTCACCTCCTAACTCAGCGCCGTGGCCGTCAGCATCCCCGTATTCAAACTCCAGGTTGGGACAATCCACGGAGCCCTGCGGAGATGGGAACAGCACGGGGGGGAGGCTGGCACATCCCCATGGGTATTTCGGGAGGGGGGATGGCTGCCAGCGTTCCCGGCCCTGCAGTAAAGCTCCTCCAGCCTCTGGAGCAGCCACTGGTGCAGGGGTGATCCTGATCTGGGTCTCCAGAGCGCGACATTTACATGAGGGTGCTTAAAACCCAGTGTGAATCTGGGAGGGGAGTGGAAAACCAGCGCTGAGCAAATCCCAGGGGAAGCAGAGGCAGGATCCAGAGGGGATCCTTGAGGTATTTCAGAGCCTTAAAAGCAAAGTCTGGGGCTGGTTGGCTGCAGAAGTGCCCCGCAGAAACCACCCGTGCTCCCTCCTTGCCATCCCAGATCCAGCAGCTTTCCAGCCCTTTCGAATCCCACACTGGTTTGTGTTAGAAGGGACCTTAAAGCTCCTCCAGCTGCAACCCTGCCACGGGCAGAGACACCTTCCACTAGAGCATGAAGCGTGTTGTGGATCTCCCCCCGCTTCCCTGCAGATGAGGAACTGGAGCATGAAACTTCACCGGAGGATTAAGCGGGGCCAGGAGCAGCCGCAGCACCGGGAACCCGTGGATGGGTGATCACTGAATGAGCATCATTCCTCCGCCTGAATCCCTGCATCCCCCCGGGCAGCCCGGCCGGGAGCGATGCGCATCGGCCCTATTAATATTGATGACCCCGGAGGATGCCAAGCCCCGAGCTCCGGCTCGCTCAGAAGCGTTGGTTTCTCAGCCCGCTTCTGCAGCCGGACCCGTGGGGAGGCTCCGGGGGCTGAAGCCGATGAGGAATTCGGTGCTAATCCGCTTGGAAAGCCTGAGCCAGGGAAAACAACCCCGGAATTCCAGGGCAGGGCGCAGGGGCCGCCGCTCGGACACCGTCCCCTGGGGAAAGGGGACCCTTTTTGGGTCAGGGAGCCCCTCGACCCGCAGCTCCTCGGTGGCGAGGCAACATCTTCCCATCCCCGTGGCCCCACGGTGGCCGCGGCATCAGCCCAGGGCTGGATCCTGATGACCAGAGCCCGGTCCTGCTTCCCCAGCCGGGCACCACGAGCCCGGAGCGGGGCAGGGGCAGTGAGCATCGGGGGGATCGGTGCTGGTTGGTTGGGCAGGAGGGATGAAGGGTGGCGGGGACCCCAGACCCTGCGGGGAGGGGGGGGGCAAGTGGGTGCCTGGAGCAGCCCAGGACCTGCTGGGACCCCAAGCCCTGCTGCAAGCTCTGGGAGCGGGGCAGGCAGGTGCCTGTGACAGGGGCAGCCTCCATGGGGACCCCCACTCCGGACTGGGGACCCCTCAGCACCCCAGACAGGGACAGGGGAGCACCCTCAGGACCGCGAACCCGTTAACCCAGGGCCAGGCTTCTTCCAACCACGGCAACGCAGGGACCCCAAACCCGGGGCACGGCCCCGAGCACTGAGCAGGGACCCCCCGCACCCCATCGGGGCGCCCCACCCCGCCCCATCAGCGGCCGCCGGGACCCCAGGGGGTGGCACCGCCGCCTCCAGCCCTCACCTCGGACTCCTTGCGCTGGCTCCTGAAGAGGTCCCGGCCCTTGGGCTGGGGCTGGGGCTGGGGCTGGGGCTGGGGCTGGGGCTGGGGCTGGGGCTGGGGCTGGGGCTGGGGCTGGGCCGGCAGAGCCCGGACCGGGGCCGGGGCCGGGGCCGCGCCTCCCGCAGCCTCCATTCGCCGCGCCCCGCCGCAGCGCCCGAGCACGTGGGGGACGGAACCCCGCGGCCCGGCCACGCCCCCCGCCCCGCCGCGCCCATTGGTCTACAGCAACAGGGGGCGGGGCCTGAGGACACACCCCCGGCTCGCCATTGGGTGAGGGGCGGGGCCAGAAGGGGCTTGGGGGGCGAGCCCATGGGGTGCTGGGACTGTTGGGGTTCGGGGGCTATTGGGGTACCCTCGGGATGGCGGGTGCTGGGAACAGGGGGATTTGGGGTGGGAATGTGGGGTGCAGTGGAGGTGACATGTTCTGGGGGGGTCCATGGGGTGTCCCTGGGGGTGCTGGGAGCTAGAAATGCAACAAAGGGGGGTTATGGGGGGTCCTTAGGGATGATGGAAACGGGGGGGGCCCATGGAGAGTGAGGGGTGTCGCTAGGGGTGATGGGTTGGGGATTATGGGGGTGGTGGATGTAAGAGCTGCCCATGGGGCACATCAGGGGGTCCTGCTGGCATCAGGGGTGCCCAGCATCACCCATTGAGTTGTTTTGTGCAAATCCTGGTTAAAAGCAGCTCCTGGGGGGCTGGAAACTGGGAAGTGGCAGAAATTGGGAATCCCCATCCCCCCCGATCCCCCCTCTGCACCCCATACAGGGGAGCAGTTGCTTTGGGGGTCACTGTGTGTGTCTGGGGGGGGGGTGCTGGACATCCCAGCTCGGTGTCACTCGTGTCCTTCACAGCCACCGGACAAAGTGTTTGGGCTGTTTCCCTCCCAGCACCCAGCGAGGAGCCGCGTCAGGAGCAGGGGAGATAAGGGGGTGATTTCCCATCCCGCCTCATCCCACTTTCCCCAAGGACACAGCGGCAACAAGAGCTCAAAGAGCCGCCCGGAGCCCAAACAGCCCCAAGGACACGCAGCCCCCAGAGCAACGTTCCCCGATGATTTCACAAGGCAGCAGTGGGAGCTCCGGGATACAGCACCGGATTTAGGGACAATGTCCCCATCCCCACCCCAGGGCAGCAGCATCTCTGACCCCTCTGTAATTCAAAAACCCCCTCTGCTGCGCTGTGGGGAGACCCCCCCTGCAGTCCTGATCCAGCTCTGGGGCAGCAGCACAAGAGGGACGTGGAGCTGTTGGAGCGAGTGCAGAGGAGGCCACGGAGATGCTGCGAGGGCTGGAGCAGCTCTGCTCTGGAGCCAGGCTGAGAGAGCTGGGCTGGGTCAGCCTGGAGAAGAGAAGGCTCCTGAAGGGGAGACCTTAGAGCAGCTCCAGTGCCTAAAGGGGCTGCAGGAAAGCTGGAGAGGGGCTTTGGACAAGGGCCTGTAGGGACAGGCCAAGGGGAATGGCTTTAACCTGCCAGAGGGGAGACTGAGATGAGCTCTTAGGCAGAAGCTCTTCCCTGTGAGGGTGCTGAGGCACTGGCACAGGGTGCCCAGAGAAGCTGTGGCTGCCCCATCCCTGGCAGTGTTCAAGGCCAGGTTGGACACAGGGGCTTGGAGCAAGCTGCTCTAGTGGAAGGTGTCCCTGCCCGTGGCAGGGGTTGGAGCTGGAGGAGCTTTAAGGTCCCTCTCAACCCAAATCATCCCATAGCTCTGTGCAAAGACCCCATGGAGCCGCTGAGTTTCCCAATGTTTTATTGGTGGTTTGGGATTACAGTTTATTGCTGATCTAATACAATCACTCAGACATGAATAATTAAAACATCCTTTGAACATGTTACGCTGGCGAAGGTCTCGTCTCGCCGATGACAGCTTCGGTCTCACTTGTTTCCCATGTTCAGAACCGTTTCCTTACACAATTTTGCTGGTGTTGCCTAAATCTCCTTTTTTTTTAATTCCTATTTCTTTAAAAACATGTTACATTAAAAAAGACAATCTTCCCAACCCAACCCCGACACGTTTAATTTCAAGATGATCATGGAATCCGATTCCATATTGATCAGGAATAAGCCAAGCAAGCCCAACAGCTTACAGAAGAAGCAGGACATGGAGAAGAGCGTTTGAAATCGAGGTGGGAAAAGCCACTTGGGAGCTTCTTATTCTTCTGATGATTTCCTGTTCCTCCTATCAGCTACCTGGAAGATAAACTGGGATTAAAATGGGCACGAAGGACTTCACGGATGGGTCAGCACCAGCGAATGCTGCACAGGCGACGGACACAGGGCAGGTCAAGCGGCTGCATGAGCGGTTCCGAAGGGTCTTGTGGCTGCAACGGGATGTTCCCGGGGGCAGGAGTGGCTGTGGTTGGGATGAGCCTGTTTTCCAAAGGCTGCTCTGCTCCAGGGAATCCCACATCTGTGTTTCACCTTGACCAGGAGTGGGATTTCAGGCTGTGGAGCACAACAGGAACCCCGGGTTCAGTGGCTGGTGCAGACAGAGGTCATCCAGCAGCATCTCCAATAGCTCCAAGGACTCACCCCAAAATCTCGGGATCTGGGTGAAATTCCGGAGTGAGGAGAGATGATTTCAGTTTTGCAGTTAGTGATGGATGATGAAGTCTTCTTGAAGCCCTAAAGTCTTCTCAAAGCCTTCTGAAAGCCCTACCAAATCCTAGAAGCCTTAAGGTCTTCTTGAGATCTTCTCAAGGTCTTCCTTTCTCAAAGCCCTAAGGTCTTCCCAAAGCCCTAAGGTCTTTCAGAGGTCTTCCCAAGGTTTTCCTTCCAGGCTTTGAGAAATTTCAAAGAGAAACTTGGAAGAAGTGACCAGATGAGAACACCTGGCTCTGTAGGTGAGCAGCTCCCAGTCAAGCTGCCTCCAGCCCTCAGCAGCAAGAGCTCTGAGGACTTGGCTTCCAAGACCATAATCCCCCAGTTTTCCTTTCTTGTGCGTGAACGAGCTGCCACTAAAGGGTTTTTCCATGATGGCAAAGTCCATGAGGACAAAACAAGAACCTGCAGCTGATGAGGGACTTGGGTACCAAAGCAGCCACCATGGGATAAAGGCTTTTGCGCTCACAGGGGTTGGGTGATTCTATTTTAGAAGGACCATGTTCTCTATGTGAACCATTAAAGTAACTCTGATGAGACACAGAGACTTGGAAAGTCACCTTGGGAAGTGTTCCAGTGGGACAGCCTGGGCTAAACCAGGTAACTCTGGCAGATCTGCTCTCCATTGGGTCTGATGCATCAAGAGTCAAGCCAACTGAAGGGGCTTAGTGATGCTGAACCCTTCCCCAGGCAGAAGATCAGTGTGGGGTTACTCTGGTGTTCATCTCATACACTCAAAGGGGGGTTCCAGATTTTATCCTACAAATATGACTGGAAAATAAAACTCCTAAGACTCCCATTAATGGCTGAAATTCAGCTGGAGAAAGACCTCACATGGACACGGGTCCTCCCAGCGGGATGGCCGACGAGCTCTGCTTGGGTTGGAAAGAGCTCCCCGACACGTGAGCAGCATTTGTTGGGTGAGGATCCAGGGCTCTTCCACCAGCACCCTGTAGCCCCACCGGGATCATGACTTTGGTTGAACCATGGGAGGTTGGCACTGGTAATGTGAGCAGCAGGAAAACACTGTGGAGCTGGGATGGAGGGAGAAGTGGTGGGTCCTACCCCACCACCACCGTGTCTACCTCCGAGCAGGCACTGCTCCTGTCCTCCCAGCTCCTGCTATGGGCTGACACTAACAACCAGACCCTTCATTACAGCTTTCAGCAGTGCTAAGGCGAAGTTCATCCACTCGCTGATGGAACCATCCCTTGGGAAGTTCAGCAGAACTATGAGAGGTTCCTCCAGTAAGGTGGCACCCGGCTGGTCGGCAGCGCTTGGAGCATGGATTTAGCTGTGTTGGCATGAGAAACACAAACCCATCCCCCCTCCATCCAACTCTTGTGGCTGGTGGGATCCTGGAAGAAGCATTGGGATGTGAAGGAACCCGCAAGCCACAACCTCCAAGGGGGAACCCACGGCTCCTGTTGTATGCGCCGGATGAAGGGTGCATACAGGCTGTTCCGAGCCCATCACAGCCATCCCATTGCAACAGCTTCTTCCTCACCTCCTTCCTCATCATCTCAGCCCCGAAAAGAACAACCCAAAGAATAAAATGAAAGAAATGGAAAGAAATCCAGCGTCTCCCTCAGTGCCGCAGCAGAGCGAGCACCGGCGGCAGAGCCCGCATGGAGAGTGTTCTATTCAATAAATAAATAACCTAACACACTGTCTACTACGAGAGCAAGCCCGGCTCTAGCTTAGGGAGCTTGAGCTGTTTAATCCTGTACAGTAGTTGAGAAAAGACTTGGGGTCTTGTTCCTCACAATTCTCCGGGATACAGTGGCAGGAACTTAGTATCTGGGGAAGAGAAGAGAAGAGAAAAGGAGGTTTTTGGGAGGTGCTGTGGAAGAGACATGGAGCTGCCCCAGCACTGACATGGTGTGTTCTGGGAGGGGTAGACACCAAGGAAGGAAATGATTTAGAAAAGGACACTGTCTTTATCTCCCACCCCATAAATACCACGTTATAGGGACAGGCTGAGGGAGCTGGGCTGGGTCAGCCTGGAGAAGAGAAGGCTCCTGAAGGGAAGACCTTAGAGCAGCTCCAGTGCCTAAAGGGGCTGCAGGAAAGCTGGAGAGGGGCTTTGGACAAGGGCCTGTAGGGACAGGTCAAGGGGAATGGCTTTAACCTGCCAGAGGGGAGACTGAGATGAGCTCTTAGGCAGAAGCTCTTCCCTGTGAGGGTGCTGAGGCGCTGGCACAGGGTGCCCAGAGAAGCTGTGGCTGCCCCATCCCTGGCAGTGTTCAAGGCCAGGTTGGACACAGGGGCCTGGAGCAGCCTGGAACTGGATGAGCTTTAAGGTCCCTTTCAACCTAAACCAGTCTCGGATTCCATGATATTTACACATCAAAATACAAAACTTGGGAAAACTCGAGTCTCCTTTTTGTATCTGGAGGCTTCAATTCCTGCAGGACATCAAGCTGAAGCTGTCTGAGCACATCTCCACCCCATGGTGCATGGGAGGATATTTGAGTCATCATGGCTCTTCCTCAATGCAGGGAATTTGCTATGACCCTCGACTTATCCCAACTTCTCCACATGTGGGATGAACCACCCTCCCCACAGGGTTGTAACTACAGCCGGGCACTGAAACTGGGCAATGAGAACGGAACTGGAGGAGATTCCTCCACAGGAATGGTGATTGCACATAACACAGGGCAGGAACAAGAAATAAAGCTCAGGATCTGGCAAATCCCACTGCACCCCCCAAATCTGAGCTCCTGTGGGAGTGCTGAAGAATCTGCACACCAAGAAAATACCTTTTCCTGCAAGAAATGGATCATAGAATCATGGAATGGAAAGGACCTTAAAGCTCATCCAGTTCCAACCCCCTGCCACAGGCAGGGACACCTTCCACTAGAGCAGGTTGTGAAAGGATCTGGGCTTCAACCCCCAACAAGCTGATGTGTGCTTGTGCAAATTCATTCTCATGATAAAAAATGCTTCGGAGTGCTGGCTACAAACATAAGCCTGGGAAGGGAAGCGATCCAGGGGCTCAGATTGGGAATTAGTATTGGGTTTTGGGATCAGCCCATGCTGGAGGATGAGAACCACGGAGCTGAGCCCATCCCAGCAGCTCCCAGGGCTCGGAGCCACCTCATCCTTCATCACCCGTTAAAAATAAAGCTGTGTCTGAGTTGGGGGTGGCATCTCTGCCATTTGCCACCTCTGGTGACAGCTGCTGCCATGTACAAAGGGCTCGTGCCCTGCCAAGTGCTCTGTGGCACAGCTCCAACCACTCTGGCCCCTTCCCACTTTCCATATGGTGATGGGAATGAGCGGGACACCCATGGTATCTTCCCAGTGGGATTAAACCCCATCCCCTCAGCACCCCTAATGTGTACCCCACCTCCTGGCAGAAGAAGGGGAGAGGGTGAGGAGCAGCACCTGTAGTAGTTTGGTTTGAAAGGCCCGTTCTTATTCAGTCCCAGGTATTTTGCTTGTTCATCCGTGAGCTCTGTCAGGTGGGCATCAAATGTTGGGAGGTGGAGGCTTGCCACGTACTCATCTGGAATGATTGCAAGGCTCATTAGTATGGGTGTGGAGAAGGCAACGAGTCCCCTCTGCGCAGCAGGTCCTCCTGTGCAGCACTCCTCAGGTCTTTGCTGCTAAACTGATTTCACCCTGAGTGAGGAAAACCAAACTCTCACGTGTTTGGGGCAAACCTTCCTCTGAAATACCCTTCTAGGAGGGGTCCTGGATCTGCTGCTGTGTCCCAGGAGCCAGTGGACATTCCTAGTAGGTGACATCTACCACCCAAGCTAGGGATAAGCTGCACCTTGTCGCAAAATATACAACTAACACCAATAAGTCTCAGTTTTGCAGCAAAAACTGTGGTCATTGCAGCCTGCATCCTCAGGAGGGGGGTTCTGCTGGCAGAGCTGTTGGTCATGGATGTCTTCAGAGCCAACAGAGGCAGCTCTGCTGGCAGAAGCCCTGCATCAGCACGGACAGGCTCCTGTGGTCAGCCAAGTGCTTCAGCCTGTTTTCCCCAGTTGAGATGGAGAAACAACACATCCAACCTATTGAAGACCCCAGACCCAGTGGGAAGAGCTTGCTGGAAGTCCCCGAGCATGGCAGAGCCCAGGAGGCTGCAATGCCCCTTTGTCCCCAGCCCAGCCCAAGCAAAACTTCCTTTCTGTTCAATCTCAACACCAAGGAAGAGAAGACAAGGAGAGCATTTTTACCCATCTTCTTAGGCAGCAGGTACACGTCTTGCTTGTAGCGGCCTTCGGGAGCGTTGTACAGCTCTATCAAAGCCAAAGCCTGGATGGAGAAGGCACTGAGGTAAGTGACTGCTGCCCACTACGGAGCTTTAGGCTCAGCCCAAACCCTACTCACCTGTGTGGTGGCAGTGATGGACAGGACAAAGGTGGGGACAGTGGAGCAGCTCAGGTTCAGCAGGCGGCCCTGGGAAGCAAAGACTGGGGTTATCTCAATGTGGCACCAAAACCAGTTCACAACCCTTGAGAAGGCACAAGAACCACTAGAAGATACAAAACCCACAAGTGAAATGTGTCCCTTTATCACATGCCCTTGAAGCCCAAGATGTTGGTTGGTTTTATAACTCAACAAAACTATTTAGAAGTCAGAAATCTGATAAAATACCCTGTGGGAGACACTCTGGAGTAGGATAAAGGAAAACACAGGAGCTTTTCAGTGTCCCAGTAACTCATGAACCAAACCAGGCCTACACCAAGCCCTTCAACCAGAAACTCCTGAGCTGCTGAGGCCCAAGGAGGTGATGTCTGGATCCTCTTCAGCTCCATCACTCATCCAGCCCTTGGTTTCCTCCTCCACAAGCAGAGAGCAGGCTGAAGCTCCTGCTCCTTCACCCTCAACTCACCTCTGCCAGAAGGACTATTCTCTTCCCATCTGGCCAGATGACATGGTCCACCTGGGACCTCACCCTCTCCCATGTCAGCTCAGGTGTGCGCAGGCTGGCCTGAAACACGATGTTAAAGTAGTTAAAGCACTGGTAAAAGACCATAAACCAAGAGCTACATAATAGGAATTAAAAGAGGAAGCACTCTGACATCATCATAGAATCCCAGACTGGTTTGTGTTGGAAGGGGCCTTAAAGCTCATCCAGCTCCAACCCCTGCCACGGGCAGGGACACCTTCCACTAGAGCAGCTTGCTCCAAGCCCCTGTGTCCAACCTGGCCTTGAACACTGCCAGGGATGGGGCAGCCACAGCTTCTCTGGGCACCCTGTGCCAGCGCCTCAGCACCCTCACAGGGAAGAGCTTCTGCCTAAGAGCTCATCTCAGTCTCCCCTCTGGCAGGTTAAAGCCATTCCCCTTGGCCTGTCCCTACAGGCCCTTGTCCAAAGCCCCTCTCCAGCTTTCCTGCAGCCCCTTTAGGCACTGGAGCTGCTCTAAGGTCTCCCCTTCAGGAGCCTTCTCTTGTCCAGGCTGACCCAGCCCAGCTCTCTCAGCCTGGCTCCAGAGCAGAGCTGCTCCAGCCTTCGCAGCATCTCCATGGCCTCCTCTGGACTTGCTCCAGCAGTGTCCAACATGTTCCTGGGCTTGTATCTTCCCTTGGATCTGGTCACAGTCCCAGACCAACAAAACCTTTATGAATCATAGCCTGGACCTATTTTTATGATTACAATACATCAAAACTCCAGCATCAACTATTGTGATTCGAGGTCTTCTGGCTGAAGAGGATTCAGTCACTAACTCTGAATGGCTGGGATCACTTCTTTAAATGGCTTTAAACCCATGGGTCTGGTCAAGCGATTCTCCACTGACCTTGAGACAAGATTCTCTTGGTTTTGTACTCATGTCAAAGCATAGAGGAGCAGATTTTGGTGCTGCTCTATAAAGCATAAGAAGTTGTGCTGCAGCAAGATGAACTCTTGGTTGGGTTGGACTGGGCTGGAGAGGGCAATCCACTCAACTCTCAAGGGGAAGTGATAATGTTGGTGGACACCAAACACTACGCTGGAGGCTGGAGCAGTTTTTCTGTCTCACTGGCATGCTTTGGGATTGCAGGAATGACAGAGACATGTCTGACAATGTCTACTGAGACAGAAGGGCACTGGGTTATTTGGTCTGCCCCCACGTGCTTGCTAAGGCAGCCCAGGTCAGACAGAGCTGCTGAAGGGGAGATTGAGATGAGCTCTTAGGCAGAAGCTCTTCCTTGTGGCAGGGGTTGGAACTGGATGAGCTTTAATGTCCCTTCCAACCCAAACCACTCTGTGACTCTATCGCCCACCATCGTCCCACGCCCAAGGCACGCTCCTGCACTCACCACGTCGATCTCGGTGTTGGAGTGCCCCATGTTGCAGACGATGCAACTGTTCTTCATCCGATCCAAGTGTTCCCTGGTCACCACGTTCTTGTTGCCTGCCAGACAGCAAAACCCCATAACAAACACCCTGTTTGCCTTCCCCATCCTTCCGCCTTTTCCTTTGGGAAAAGATGGACCCAGTTATGTGTGTGCATCCCTGAGGATCCCATCCCTGGTGTTGGGGTCCACGTACCTGTGCAGGTGATGACGATGTCAACCTGTCTGATGACCTCATTGAGCTTCACCAGCCGGAATCCATCCATGCTAGGAGAAGAGGGAGGAAAAAGTAGACTGAGAAGCAGCAAAACCATGCTCAAAATAGAAAAACACCCCATTAAGTCATTCTTAGGTACTCGCTTGAACTTTCTAATGCCACAAACAGCAAGGCAGAACTTGAGAAGCCACATCCCCCACAGCATTTGGAGGGGTTTTGGAGGATTTGGGACTGTTGTGGGGAGAAGTGAAAAGAGATTTGGGGGATTTCACATTTTCTATCCAGGCCCCCACATCTGCAAAGACACATTTTCCATCGAGATGGCGTTTTTAATGCTGCAAAGTACATCCAGAAGCTGCAGATCCCCCTCCTGCTGCAGGAGCCTTTCTGATACAGATTTAGAGCATCTTCAGAAACATAAAACCCAAACAGCCCCAGCCCACAGATGTCTGTCATCCATGCTGCAATCCAGATTTAGGCACTTACAGCATCTTTAGACGTGCTGGGTGCTCAGCAGGTCTCTCCTGACTTCACCCAGCAAGGTGTGTTCAGCACATAACAAGGGCAGGAGGGGTGCTTTTTTAGGATTTGTTGACCTTGCTCCTGAGAACTGATTCCTGTGGCTCTCACAAGCTGCAGAATTGTAGGTGCTATAAAAGGAGTCATTTTTCCTGCTTTATGTCCCATTTATTGTGTTTTTCCTCCCTCCCACTCTACAGTCCTTATGAGCAGGGCTGCATGGTGCTGCATTGGGTAGAGGCAGGTCTGGGGTTGTTGCAGCCACCAAAGTCACCATGAAAGCTTTGGGACCGGTTGTGGAGGTCACAAAGCAAACTGGAAGTTGATCAGCTCTACTAATGAGTTCCCTCACTGTGACAGGCCTTTGAAAGCTGGCTGTGAGGAAGAGGATGAAGGTTTAATAAGACTCTATGTGGTTTTGGGACTCTGCTTTCATGTCCCATTTCACACCTTGAGCTGCAGAAGCAGCATCTCTGCACCAGAACAACCTTTACCTGGAAGAAATGAGGTTGGGTGTAACCATAGTGTGCCCATGTGAGGGGGCAGCCACGTGCTTTCAGCCCTGTGTCAGGGTACCAGTGTTAGCAAGGAGAGGTTTGTGAGGGGTGGGTGATCACAGAACCCCAAATATCCCTCTGGTGAAGTGTGTGCACAGCTCAGTAAAGCCTGAGTTTGCACTCCAAAGGTTGCAGTTCACTCCCAACATCCTTTCAAGCTGTTATCATTAAACTCATTCAAGCCATTATCATTAAACTCTTGGCCACTGTAGTTAGGATCATGCAAGTTGGCACAAGGGATACCGATAAACTGGGTGAGGCTTTAGTGCAGGAGCTCTTTTCTGCTGTAGGACAGAGCTGTGGGTCCTTCCAAGGCTATGGAGAAGCTACAAACCCCCCACCAGTGTCTCCCTGGGTAGGGACCACTGCTGAGTGTTTCTGGCCATGGTTTTCCTGGGAGAATAAAAGAAGCTAAAGAAGCAGCTGGGCTCAGTGCAAGTGCTTACCAGGCCTGGAGGGCACAGATTGGATCGATCTCTGTCACATACACTATGGAGCCCATGGCCTTCAGAGCAGCACAACAGCCCTTTCCAACCTGGGGAGGGAGAAGAGCACAGAGGAAGAGTGAGATGCTGAGGGCTCAGGAGATGCTGAGCATCAATACGGCCATGGGGGATGTACAACTCCACGTGTCTCCTGCAGCCCCAAGAGGCCTTTGCAGCCCTCTGGTTGCATATACTCAGCTTCTGGGTGCATGAAATTCATGGATTTGGAGTCATTTAGGACCCAGCTTAGATACGAGGCACTAAAACATGTAAAAGTGATGTTGATTTTGGCCCCAGGGAGTTGTTTTTCCTTCCTGGTATCTAGAAAGTACTATGAAAACAAGAGATTACCCCTATCTCAGGGAGAGTTTGAGTCTCTTGTAACCTTTCCTCTGTTTAGGAAGCTTAATGGTTTAATCTCTGAGGGTTAAAGAGCTTTAACCTTTACACAGCACACAGTGAAGCTCACAGGGGAATTGAGGGCAATGGTTAAATGACCAAGAGCTCCCAAAAAATGTGATTACACATCAAGAAATAATCGCATTGCATCTTTCTGGGGAAAAAAAAACAGTCCCAGTGCAGCTCCCACAGCACAGCCCACCATAGCTGGTGTGAATGGGTCCTGACAAGGGTGGTTATTCCCATCCTTCAGAGAGGATCATTCTATTTGGGGATGAAAGCACGGGGGTAGGTCAAGATTAACTTCCCTATCTTGACCACGTTTCAGCATGCATCACTATGGCTGCACAGTACATCTGCAGAACCCAGCCTCCAAATGTCTTAAGATTACATTACAAAGAATATAATACAAAAGATACGATCTATTAATGTCTGGATATGCCAATATTCAGATATTAAAGCTATTCAGAATAGTCCATATTCATGTCTCTTTAGATTCAGGTTTGTCATCTGTTGAATACTAAAGAAATACAGTGGAAATGAGGAAAATCTTCCAGTTTGGGCCAACCCATCAGGCCTGAAGGTCCCTGCAGATGCAGAGACAAGCCCCAAGGACAGGAAAGCCCTGCGGGATAAAGCCATGCAAAGGATGTGCCAGTTTTACATGCAAAACCTGCAGGTAAGCTGCGATCCCCTTACCTCTCCATAGCCACAAACCACTACTTGCTTCCCTCCAAACATCATGTCTGTTGTCCTCTTAAGGCTGAGGAAAAAGAAGACGACTTCATTAAGGACCAGCAGTAAGATCTATTCCATTGCTGAGGCTGGGAAGGGCAGTGGATTCCTGGTTTGCTCCTCCTAAACACCACAGGTGTACCCTGTATCCCTGAAGAGACACAGCAATTCTGGGTGCAGAGAGGACCCACAGGGCTCCTAAAACCTGACTTTTTCCTTTGGTCATTGTGGAAACACAACAAATATGGAAGATTTGGGGCTTGGATCCTTGTTTTATTTAGCTCTGTTGTTGTATCCCTTTGTTTTGGACTCCAGAAATATTTAAGATCTTATCCAAAAATATTTCCTTCTTCTTTCTGTTGTTTTACATTCAAAACACCCCCAGAAATAGCTCCAGAAGAAACAGGAAAGTGGTAATTTATTGCCCGAATCTCAGGGCTTTCCACAAATAAAGCTCTCCCTTCCACTTGGATTCCTTCTGCTTTCTCCCTAAGAGTGCCCTACATTGCAGACTATTTTTAGCACACCAGTAAATAGGTTAGCAGTGCAGGGAAGGTGAAATTCCCTCACATTTCCAAGAGAGATAAAACCCACAGCACCTCTGCTCAGGCTTCCCTTGACCCAGTTTTAGATGCCTGGGCCAGACTTAGCTCAGATCCCAACTGCCCAACCCCTGAGGTCCATCATCCATCATGACAGGATAAAGAAGATATAAAGATTTTCATGTTTTTAGCCACGGAGAGCATCTGGTGCAACATGGAGCTAAAAGCTGTGCCTTTAGCTCAGAAGCTGGGGGCAACTCTTCACTGGGCAGCTGACCCCCATCTTCCAGTGTCTGAAGGGAGCTACAAGGATGCTGGAGAGGGACTCTTCATTAGGGACTGGAGTGATAGGACAAGGGGTGATGGGTTCAAACTGAAACAGGGGAAGTTCAGGTTGGAGATAAGGAGGAAGTTCTTCCTGTGAGGGTGCTGAGGCGCTGGCACAGGGTGCCCAGAGAAGCTGTGGCTGCCCCATCCCTGGCAGTGTTCAAGGCCTGGTTGGACACAGGGGCTTGGAGCAAGCTGCTCTAGTGGAAGGTGTCCCTGCAGGGGGTTGGAACTTGGTGAGCTTTAATGTTCCTTCCAACCCAAACCATTACATGACTCTGTGACAGAGGCTGCCTTGTGCAGCTTGAATCCTGTAACATTGAGCAGAGACATGGCCATGAAAAAGAAGGAAGGGCTATGTAATTAGAAGAATCAAGTTGCTTTTATAGGATCCCAGACTGGTTTGTGTTGGAAGGAACCTTAAAGCTCATCCGGTTCCAACCTCCTGCCACAGGCAGGGACACCTTCCACTAGAGCAGGTTGTTCATAATACAACATCTTGGCAGGGAAGAGCCAGATTCCATCACTGCTGGGCTCAACAAGGAGCCCAAAAGTTAGTCTTTTAGAACAACATGCGATGGAAATGTGGAGAAGAAACTGCACATGCAGTGGATCATCCTGAAGCCCATTTGGTGGTTCACTAACCTACATGGCACTTGTACACACTTTAAAGGTCATCTTCATGCCCCTGTATCTGGACAAACATGAGTCTTCTTCATTTCTCCTGGTCAAGATGACCACTACCAGGAAGACTGCTTCAAAGCCGAGATGATGAGTGAGGCACTACACGTCCCACAAAGATCTGGGAGAAAGATGTTAGAGCACAGGCTACCATTGACAGGGAAGCATATGCTGGGTGTCTGAGCTCTGGTGCCACCAGACTGAAGGCAGCAGGAGCTCAGCTAAACACCAAGAGACTGACAGATGGACTTTGATTAGACAGAAGGAGACATCCCTGCGTTGGTGAGGAGCTGACAACTGCAGCTCAAGGTTTGTTTAAACCATGAAAACAGTCTTCTCTCTTGAAGCAGGTTGTCTTCTCCATGGTGGGTTCCTCCTCTGCACCGTACTACCTGGCACAGAGCAGGTGACCTTTCCTCTGTGTCCATCTCAGCAGCATCAGCACCAGCCTGGAAAGACTACTTTGTCCCTGCTCTGTGCTTACTTGTCTACTGGGACCACTACTTGGTGCAATATCTCATAGCTTTAACTGTGGGAATAAGTCTTCCTAATCTCATTTGGCTTTGACAAGATCTGGTGCTGGAGGTGGTGGGGACATGGGCGCCCAATTCCATCAAAGCAAGGAAAATAAAGGGAGGCAGAGAGGAAAAAATATCCCTGAGATGAGATTTACACTCTCTAGATCACAACTTCAAGCAGTTTGCACTGCATTTCAAGATCAGCAGTCTCAGAAGATACATCATGTTCCCAGTGCCCACGTATTCGTCAGCAACCTATTCCCATCCAATCCTGAAAAGAACAGCATCATCAGGTTGCTGCAGACCTGCTCCCAGTCCCATGGGCTGCCCACTGGGATTCTAGGGGGGAGGGAGCCCAGAGGGAAGCAAACACTCTTCTGCTTGCTTGTATGGCACATGACTGGAGATCCTGCAGGAGCAAGGAGGGGAGAGGTGGATAAAGGATTCAGAATACCTATTTATGGTCAGCTGAAGAGAAGGTTCATTAGGGTTGGAAGGGAGCTCTGGAGATCATCCAGTTCAAACCCCTGCCAAGGCAGGGCTATCCAGAGCAGGTCACAGAGGAACATGTCCCAGTGGGTTTTGGATATCTCCAGAGAGGGAGACATCTACAACCCCCCATGGCAGCCTGTGCCAGTGCTCTAATGTATAGAAGTTTTTCCTCGTGTTGAGGTGACACTCGTGTTTCAGTTGCTGGCCATTGCTCCTCATCCTGTCACTGGGCACCACTGAGAAGAGTCTGGCACCATCCTTTTGGCACCACCTCTGAGCTACTGGTCTGCATTGATGAGATCCCCTCTCAGTCTGCTCTCCTCCAGACTGACCAGGCCCAGCTCCTGCAGTGTCTCCTCATAAGAGAGATGCTCCAGACTCTGAGCACCCTTGTGGCCTCTGATGGACCCTCTCCAGTAGCTCCTTGTCTTTCTTGTACTGAGGAGCCCAGCACTGGACACAGTGCTCCAGATGTGGCCTCACCAGGGTCAAGCAGAGAAAGAAGATGTTGTGATGAAGGAGCTGGATGACTCACACACACCCCTCAGACACAGATGGGCTTTACCCTGATGCCACAAAGCTTAAGAGGAATGGGAAGGAGTATTGTAGCCATACATGAAGACTTCCAAAGCCCTCACACAGAGAAGGTGCAGGGTTTGAACACAGCTCCAGCCACACTCACTGAGAAGGGAAAATGCACACGACTCACCTACATAAAGGGCAACATCACCCTGAGAGCACAAATCATCACCACAGAACTTCTGGAGACCTAAAGTCTTTGCTGCAAGATCATTCTCTTACACACACAAGATTCAACGTTGGCTTTCTGTGGTGTGTTTGTGGAGCTTTACAACCAATAGTAAAAGTCCTAGGGTCTTCTGACCCACAGAGACACAGCTGCTGTCTCAAAATGCCTTCCAGGTTCTCATCTTTGACAGGACGGACAAGAAGTAATAAAGGGTCTTTGTTCTCCTCTAACACATCAACTCGTACAATCACAGACTATCACGTTGGCAGAGACCTCGAGGGTCATCTGGTCCAACCTTTCCAGACAAAAATGTCCCAGCACCCTGTCCAGCCCAATCTTAGGAGTGTCCAGCATTGGGGAGCCCACCACTTCCCTGGGGATCTTATTCCAACAGCTGATTGTTCTCATTGACCTAAAATGATCTCAAGTGGGAGGTGGGACAGACCCACGGACCCAGTTCCCCGTGGTATCCAATGTGACATGAGCAAGAAGCACAGCCCTTTGTTGGTGGCCATGTACATACCCGTCCAGGATGGACTCTCTGCAGCAGTACAGGTTGTCAAACTTCTGCTTTGTGACCGAGTCGTTGACATTCATGGCTGGGACACAGAGCTTCCCTGCTTTGGACAACTGGTACAGCCTGGAAGGAATACAGGAAGAAACAGGTCATCAACGGAGAAGTCTTTCCCTGTGCTCTACTGTGGCGTGCTCTTGAGGTCTTTGTTTCACTGGGGTGAGCAGTAGACATCTGGAGGGTCAAAGATAACCTCTTACTGGGAGCTCCTCATTTCAGGAGGAGCTTCCACAGATGTTTGCATCTGTTTTCCTTCCCTACTGCATAACAATGGCAAATAGCAGACTGGAAGGTGCTCTGGACTTGATCTGCCTCATAACCATTGATATTACAATAACCCTCTGATGCCCTCAACATGACAAAACTTCCAAATCCTGTTTCAGATACCGTAAAATGGGAGCTCCTCTAATTCCTCAAGCTCTTCCAGCTCATGACAAATAGGAATGGCCACAGGAGAGTAACATCACAGCAATGTGAAGCTGCTGTGACCAACTCCTGCAGCAAAACATCAGTTTGAACAGCAGCAGGAGTGTTATCACTGAGTTGTAGAGCAAGAAGTACCCAGGGTGGGAACACATCAACCTGACCTCCTGCTCCTGAAAGCAGACTCAACTCCTGGAAGCAGCAAAACCACTAGAAATGGATCTCAACTCTACATTGTGGCTACAAAGAGAACCTGAACATCATTTCCCTGCTCCAGACCTCGGGAAGGAGAACATGCTCCCTTGCTCAGGCCCTAGGGACCACCTCCAGTGCCATCTTGGGAGCCTCAGTCGCCACGCTTTCTGTCCCCTGGAGGTAAGGAGCACACATGCATCAATACCACCAACCTCAGAAACAACCTTGCTCCTGGCACAAGAACATGGGGAGCAGTTTTGACCATTGCTTTGGTTTTGCACATCTCTTTTGCCCATCTTGGGAAAATTCCCAGTACCAAAAATATGACCAAGTCCTTTTCTTGACCCCTGTGGCTGCAAAACTGGTCACTTCCTTACTTCAAACATTCCATTTCCCTGTTCTGAGCAGCCCCTCTGACACCATCACAATTCTGCTTCTGCCACACACTGGATGGATCTCAGTCTTTTGTCGTTCTCCCTTCCTGGACTCTCATCTTAACTAGAGACTCATTTCCTCTTCCCAAATCTCACTTTTCTCCATAGATTTAGTTTAGGATGATGCTGTTGACCTTCTTCAGAGCCCTTCTTGTGCAACAGCCTCACCCCTTCCTTTTTCCATGCAAAATGAAGTGAGATAACCATTGCCCCTCAGGAAAACAAGGCCTTGTGCACTTTCTCCACCCAGGCAATGGTCAGCAGATGCTTCTGCTCCTCATCTGGAATTCAGAGCAGCAGTTCCAAGTCTATTGCTTTCACTATATGACAGTTAAACTACCTCTCAAGGGAAAGCCAAGCCCATGCTGAAGGAAATCCACAGAGCATGTTTTATGAGGTTCAACACTCATCTGTGGCATCTTAGAGCTTGGAGATCTTTTGTTATGAGTGCCAGAAGATGTTTTGGTCCACACATCTCCATGCTCAGCGTCCAGCCTGGCCCATTACCTGTGGACACCGGTCACGCTCTCCTCTACTATCCCCTTGATCTTCTTAAACATGTTGGGGTATTTCTTGTAAATCCAGTGAGTGAGATCTCCTCCATCATCCAAGATCTGTAATCAAAGTAACCACAAAGTCACTGCTCCGGAGATCCAGGAAGGTCTGCTGGGACCAAAAAGGGATCAATCACAAACTCAAATCACTCCTAAGCAAGCCCCTGGTTTGGCATCTCAAGTACCACATCGTGACAGTGTAGGTGAGACTGTTCTGCTTGGCAGTTCAGAGCAGGAGCACTGCTTCACTGAAGGTGTGCTGGAAAGGCAATGGTCCAACATGGCAGAACTTGAGGTTTATAACGACACCAGAAGAAACATCAAAGCTAGAAAGCACGGGTGGAAAAGCCTTTGAATCATGAAGAGTCATCAGCTTTTCTAATAGCTGCTAATGGAGAAGAACAGAGGAGGATAAGGGTGCAGAAGGAAGAGAATGGAGGAGTAGGAAAATGGAAGAGGAGGAAGATGGAGAAAGGAGGAAGATGGAGGAGAATGGAGGAGGAGGAGAATAGAGGAGGAGAATGGAGGAAGAAGAGAATGGAGGAGGAGGATGGAGAAGAATGGAGAAAGAGGAGCATGAAAGAGAATGGAGGAGGAGGAGGATGAAGGAGAAGGATGGAGAAGGATGGAGAAGGATGGAGAAGGATGGAGAAGGATGGAGAAGGATGGAGAAGGAGGATCATTTGGGTAATTCCCTCCTGCATCTCAACACACAGCTGTACCCAGGGAGGGTGCTGAGCTCTGAATGCTTCAGAGACCCACTGGGGTACCATAAAGAGGTGTCTGGGAAAGAAGGCACAAGGAAAGGAAAAAATCCCAAACATGTGTGTTTCCCCAGGTCCTCCTGCCATCCAGATGGCCACAGGTGGCCCAAGCAGGTGGGAAGTGTGACACCTCCTGTTAAACTTCGAGTCAAGAAAAGACAGGGAGCAGATTTCAACAAGCGGATGGTGAAGTGCCAAGGACCTGAGCTTGCTGAGACCACATTGCCCCTTATCATCATCATCACTATCATCCTCTTTGCATGTTTCCTACACAAATGTCAAAGATTTCTGACTGAATCATCATCATCATCATCATCATTCTACTTGCATGTTCCCCACCACCATTATCGTCTTCTTTTCATATCCCCTCCTCCACCACCAAAGACTTTTGACCACATCAAAATCATGCTCCTCTTTCCATTATCCCTACATCAACTCAAAGACATCTGACTGAATCATCACCATCCCCTTTCCATGTTCCCTATCATCATTAGCATCCTCTTTGCATATTCCCTACACCAACGTCAAAGACTTCCACACCAGCCCTTATTGTGTTGTGTGTTGTGTGTTGTGTGTGTCCTAAAATGCAAGTGTCAGACCTGGGCAGAAGCATCTTTGCTCACTGGCCGGTACTGGAGCTCAGCAGGACCTTCTAAAGCCCATGTCTGCAGCTCTCCCACCAGCACCTGCAGCCGGCCAGGAAAGATTAATACTCTCTCCACGCTCCTGCAGTAGAAGCCCCCTTGTGGGCACAAAGATGATGTTCCTGAGCTTTGGATGCAGGAGAGGGACTTCATCAGGGACCAAAGGGACAGGAGAAGGGGTGATGGGTTCAAACTGAAACAGGGGAAGTTCAGGTTGGAGATAAGACAGAAGCTCCTCCCTGTGAGGGTGCTGAGGTGCTGGCAAAGGGTGTGCAGAGAAGCTGTGGCTGCCCCATCCCTGGCAGTGTTCAAGGCCAGGTTGGACACAGGGGCTTGGAGCAACCTGCTCAAGTGGATGGTGTCCCTGCCTGTGGCAGGGGTTGGAACTGGAGGAGCTTTAAGGTCCCTTCCAACACAAACCAGTCTGGAATTCTATGATTTGCCATGACATGACATGGTGGCTTCATGGAGCCACCACACTGACATCCATGGGCAAGGAATGCTTTGTACCATTACAACCTTTTTCTCTCTAAATGGCAGGATTTTCCACTGAAAGCACATGCTGTGGTTTCCAGCTGCTCCTCCATGAGTGTCTGGAGAACATGTGCTGTCCTGCCAGAACAGAGCACACATCTTCCACGCAGACCCAACCCCTGAGTCTCCAGGAACCCTCAGATCCACTCCCATTAACAGGTTGGGAAGCGCAAGCAGTGAAGGGTTAAGTGAGCTGAGCAGCTCTCCTGGGCAGGAACTCAGCAGCCTGGCTCCCAGGATGTCTTCATTTCATTAATCCCCATTTAATAGGACCCATAATCCTCTTTCCAAGAGAGAATTCAGGGGTTGGCAGTTACCTCTTTCCTAGGAGGGCAGGAGATGAGAAAACCCAGCACAGATCAGTGCACGAACCAGTTCTGGATAGGAGGTCACCTTCATGTAGCAGCCCCAAACAGCCAAAGGCAAATCCCCTTCATTCCAGTTCTTCCCAGGCAGAGTTTTTTGGGGATAAAGCACTTATTTGATGTGCAAAGAGTATTTTGTGCAGAAAAGCAGCAGTTACAGGCGTGGGCTTTGCTCTGCCTCTGGGTGCTGCTGCCTGACACCCACCCTGAGAGGCACCATCTGCAAACCAATGTTCCCGGTGGTGGTTCATCAACCTCCCTCTTGATTTTGGCACTTCCATCTGGGAGCAGAGCATGCTGGAGTCAGCACACATGTAAAAAACATCCTCCTGCCACCCCAGGGCTGCAGGGACATCTCTGTTTGGAGATGGGACCATTCTCTGACCCAATACCAGGAGGTATCCACAGCACTACTCACCCTGAATTGTTATGACTTATGACAGATTTGGTGTCTCCATATCTCCTTGGTAAATGTTTCTTTCAATGCTTTTCTCTCTAAGTCACCAATTTCATACAGCACAGAAGGGCTGCAATGTTTTCTCCAGCAGAAAATCTCTGGCTCTTCCATGAAAGCAACTGGTGTCCCAGGGTGCCATTTACAACCTCCTTAAACCCATCTAAGAGCCCACTGCCACCAAATGTCTCACCCTGTCCCACTTCCAACTCTGTTGGAGCAACAGCCAGCACCACATGGTTGATCTTCCCAAACCCAAGCTCATTAAAATCAGCTGGGATTAGCTCATAAGCATGGTTGAAAATAACCTGGTTCAGAAAATGAACTGGTGGAAACACAGGGAGATGCAGGAAGACCTGGATGGAGGTGGCATCAAAATCCCTCAGTGGTCCTAGATTAGTTTATGCTGCCAAGGAAACCAAACTCAGATTCCAAGGAACCCAACTCTGAACCATGTCTTCACACAGACAGGAATCTGCTTCCTCTGAAGGTCTGTAATCCCATCAGGAAACCCAAGGTGACTTTTTCTGGACACTCTCAGTATTCATGGATAACTGTTACCATGGACTAGCATCACACAGAAGCCTCACCATGGAATATTCAGGGGTTTGGAATGTGAGACATCCCTATTTCTCTGCATGGGGTGTAGCTCAGCTCCATCCTGCCTTGCAGTGCCTACCTGGACACAGGACTGGTGGGGGCCAGCAAAGCAATGCTCAACAGGTCTCTTTGGGTGTATGTCAAACCCTGCCATTAAGTCAATATGACTTACTGCTGAACAACAACTAGATGATCTTCAAGGTCCCTTCCAACCCAAACCATTCTTGATTCTATGATCTTGCTTTCTTTTAAGGAGAAATAGAGATTGTCCTTCTTTTTTATTGAGTTTAAAGATGAAGCCTGAAAATTAAGATGTATTTTACGCTACTTTCACCTGGGATCAATGAGTACAAGTTGGATACTTGCACTCTGAGTTGCCCCATGCTTTATGAAACTCCTAATCAATTATTTTATGCTGGACAGAGACAGACATGTTACTAAACTACTTTTCACATCTACAAAGCACTGTATGGCCAATAACAACCACCAATGATGCTGAAATCATTGGCATTTTGTTGATGGGAAGAGAAGAGACAGTTCTTCCCTGTGAGGGTGCTGAGGCGCCGGCACAGGGTGCCCAGAGAAGCTGTGGCTGCCCCATCCCTGGCAGTGTTCAGGGCCAGGTTGGACACAGGGGCTTGGAGCAAGCTGCTCTAGTGGAAGGTGTCCCTGCCCGTGGCAGTGGGTTGGAACTGGAGGAGCTTTAAGCTCCCTTCCAACTCAAATCATTCCATGGCTCTGTGAAAAGAGATCAGATTTAGGTTTATAGAAAGGATGTGGACTGTCAGGAGCACCAGCTCAGGCTCAGCCCTACAACCTGGGAACATACCTCCTTGATCCAGGATATTTGGGCATATTCTGTCTCAACAGGAGAGAAAAAATATGATCCATGCTCTATAGAGCTGCCACCAGCACAAGGAGAAGAGTAGGTCCATCGTGCTTCAGCCTTGAGACCAGATGGACAAGAGAGGCAGATTTCCCCTTGCTTCTCTGGCCACGTTTGTCAGCTCCTCTCTTCTGAGGACCCATATGAAGAAGATCCTTTCCACATCTCTTCATCAAGTGTCCAACATCCTATTTCTTAATCTAATAATGTGGACCTCCAAAATCCAGTGTGCATATCTTTGGGAACTGTTAGATCCAAGGTCTTTGGTGCTCCCCAACTTCTGTGCTCCAGAAGCAGGTCCGAAAATACACTAATGGCTGAAGACACATCCCAGAATCAAGAGGTCCGAAGAGATGCTGTGAATGTATAATATGTGTATTCTGGTACACTGATCTCTTTAATTACCGTCATTTTTGAGGAGAAATCACTCCTCAATAGTAATAAGAAAGCTGCCATTGTGTCTAGGCTCAGAGTTGTAGCTTAAGGGTGCATTTCTTGACATTCCGTGAGGAAATGAGCAGGTGGAGAGTGGAAGGGACAGAAAACCCACCTCAAACAAGCTGATTTTGGCAAACCAACCATACAGATACTCCCCTGTCTTCCACCTTTCAGTACTTGTCATCTAATGTAGGTCATAAGACTCAAAACCTGTCAGGAAGCATGATGAAAGCAGCACATTTGACTGCTGCAGATTCCTCCACTCACCCTGTTTTCCCTAGAAACAAGGGCAGAATCAAGCAGCAAAATAGAGTTGGGTACCTGAGGCTTTGTTTTAATATGGTAAGAGCAGGCTTAAAGTGTAGAAATCACCTCGAAATCCAACTTTTGTTCAGAGAGACTTTAAGGAAAATCACCTCAAGCAAAGCTGTGAATTGAATGGAATATGGTGACAAGGATTGGAGCCCTTTTCAGAACACACTGAGTTTGAGCTGCTTTCGATAAAGTGAGTTTGGTTGTAAACTGGAAGCAAAACAAGCACCTGATAAGCTCTGCACTAACACAGCTGTGCTTATGTATAAAGCAGTTCAGCAAAACCTTGCTTGATCCACATGCAGCAGTTGTTGAACCCACCTTCTACATCTGAGATAAGTTAATCTCTGGCAATGCACAGCTAATTGTAAAACACTTTGAATGTAAGTGCTGTGCTCAAACCAAGCCTGAACTGCTAAGTTAGGTCTAGATTCACATTTAGACCATCACGAAACCCTCCTCCTCTTCTTTAGATGAGAGCTACCCATGGTTCAAAGCATCTTACAGCCAGCCTCGTCTCACCATGTTGGGCTGCCATCCTTCAACGTTAACGCAGCGATCGATGCACCACCAGAAGTCATCTTCAGATTCTCCCTTCCAGGCGAAGACAGGGAACCCTGGCACAGAGAAGAAGATGGGTGCTAACACAGCCTTAGCCAATCCCTTGGGATCAGCTCTCCCCTATGTCCACATGTGAGGAACCAGGCTCCTGACATGACTGCAGTTCTTGCTTGCAGTCTGACTTTTCAACATCTACCTTCACATCGGAGACACACACTGAAGGCAGCAGAGAGGAGACAGCTTCAGCCTTCCTAAATTTCTTCGTCTCCCCCAGGGAAAAGCTCTGGCCACCAGCTGGGAGGACAACATGATCTCGAGGGTAACAGCTGCCCAGAGAAACTGTGGCTGCCCCATCCCTGGCAGTGTTCAAGGCCAGGCTGGACACAGGGGCTTGGAGCAAGCTGCTCTAGTGGAAGGTGCCCCTGTCCGTGGCAGGGGGTTGGAACTGGAGGAGCTTTAAGAGCCTTTCCAACCCAAACCAGTCTGGGATTCTATCTGTTTGCAATTCAAGCTTTCACTTCAAGTTAGATGTTTTACCTTCCTCTCAGGCACATTACCCATAGGTTAATTTTAATGTATTCTAATTCATGAACAACTGTTATTCAGCTTCAATGAGCAAGACATGGAAGCTGGTGGCTTTGGCTTCTTCTGTGTCTCCAGCTCTCAGGTAAAACCCCTGGCCTGACCCAGGCAAAACAGGATTTGGATTAAGGCACCTCTGAGGTGAGCAGGAACAGGGACAGCTTGTTTTGTGTATTATATCCCCCCAAAATTCTCTCTTTAGTCAAAGTTATGACTCAAATGGACAGAAATGAAATCAAATTGAGCTTTGTTTCTCTTAGCAGAACTCCCAGTTTCATGTAGCACATTCATCAGGTAACGTGCATCAGGATCATTTGTACTATGTATACTCATGCTCCAGAGAAAAGTCATTCTAAGATTTCCAGATCAGGATGGTCTGAACAGACCATCTGGAAGGACTGATCTTGAGCTTTCTACCCCCTACAGCTTTATTCAAAAGCAACTAAACTGAAGGGAAAAAGAATTTAAGCACTGATAAGTAGACTAAATATGATGGGAGAGGAAGAAATCCTTTGAAACCCAGAAAGATGCAAGTGGGAGATATTTCCTACCGCTCTCAGCAAGGGCAGCAGCCACTTCATTGAGGGTAGAGTAGATGTTGCAGGCAGCCCACCGGCATTGAGCACCCAACGCGCCAAGAGTCTCCATCAGGACCTGGATTTAAACAAAAATAACCAGAAAGAACAATGTAAAGAGCAATACACAGTCCACGGAGCAACACACAACTGGGATTTCTACCTGATATTTATGGGAGAGCTCCTGGGGGGTATCTAAAGTTGGGTTTAAGAAGCATCAGGGTTGTTGGAGTTGCACAGAAAACATTTGTGCCATTACTTCCCTTTTTTTTTACAGTTTTAACTGGATGAAGTAAGTCAGAATTCAAAGTATATTCTCCATGCAGCATATATATGTGCGTGGGGAAATACAAGTATATATTTACGTAGATTTCAATCAGCAAAGCTCCAGATCTAGTCAGGGGAAAGCACTCCTGTCCCACATTTGGAAGAGAAACCACAGCTCTTAAACTGTGTAAATGCACTGATCATGGACCACAACATCTTTCTGCTTACGGGATGCAAGTAATTCCATTTCCTTAGTTATCACTACTCCAACAATGCCTACAGATATACGGAATCATGGAATGGTTTGGGTTGGAACAGATCATCCAGTTCCAACCCCTGCCACGGGCAGGGACACCTTCCACTAGAGCAGCTTGCTCCGAGCCCCTGTGTCCAACCTGGCCTTGAACACTGCCAGGGATGGGGCAGCCACAGCTTCACTGGGCACCCTGTGCCAGCGCCTCAGCACCCTCCCAGGGAAGAGCTTCTGCCTAAGAGCTCAGCTCAGTCTCCCCTCTGGCAGGTTCAAGCCATTCCCCTTGGCCTGGCCCTACAGGCCCTTGTCCAAAGCCCCTCTCCAGCTTTCCTGCAGCCCCTTTAGGCTGGAGCTGCTCTAAGGTCTCCCCTTAAGAAGTCTTCTCTTCTGCAGGCTGAACATGCTTTACATCACCCTTAAGCTTAGGCTTAGAAACGTTCACATAATTGACCATCCTCTTCTAATTGGTGTAAGCGACTGGACTCAGAGACCCCATCTCCCTGTGAACCACTTGGGGTCTATTTTGGAGAAGGAGCAGTGGGAAATCCCTGTCTGGAATTCATGGATGGGGTCTTACAGCCGTCTGTGCTGTAATGTGTGTGCAGCCCACAATCTTGGCACCAGACAGTGGCTTCTCTCCCTGAGCTCTCTTCCTCAAAGCCATCAGTGCAGGCATTTCTGAAAGGGAAAACAAAGAAGGAAGTCCATCAGTGGGATGGGAAGAGGGATGAGCAGACAATAAAGACCCAGCATAATTTCTTGCCGTCCAACTTCCTCAACATGCACTGCCTTTGCTATGGATTTCTGGACACTATCATGCTAAATGAAACATACGTGATGGGTTTCACCTTCTCTACTGATTTTAACAACATGTATTTGACTATAAGGTGTCCTTCAGGAGTTGGTTGGTTGGAGCTACATGACATAACCCTGCAACTCCTTCCCATCCCACAAAATCCCTTAGAAGCTTCCCATCTCCAACAGGAACCGTGTCCAGGAATCACCAATACACTGACCCTCACAAGAAGAGGATTTGGGGGAAAGAGGAACCCCACAGGACAGCATAGGACAAGGTGGAGCTTGACGAATGTGCCCCCTTTACCTTGCTCAGCGATTTCAATCTCCCGGCGCCCAAATTCGGCCTGCTTGATGTTCTTCACACAGAAATCACTGCTGCCTTTGGAGTTCTTCTGCTGCTTGTCTCGGGGGGAGGTCTCATCATCAGAGCTATCTGTGTAGGAGGCAGCTGGAGGAGGAAAAGGAGGTCAGCAACAGAACACAGCATTCCCTAAAGCAGTGGAAGGACACAGAGATCTACTGAATGCTTCTCCATAGGCACATGGCAGCTCCCTCTATCCTCAGCTGGGATCAACCTTTCTCCTTACAATGAATGTATCTCCACAGTCAGCTTTTACCTGTAGCGAGTTCTTCATTCTCATCTACCTCTAGTTCAACACCACACCAGAGGTAATTAGATTGAGTACTGCCCATGTCCTCCACAGGCTCATCTCCTCATGCTTTGCAGCTCTTCTGCGGCCTTCTCCCATCTCCCTTCCCAAATGCGAAGCCTTTACAGCTTTAAGATAGTTATCAAAAATGCCTATTCATGTTCTGAGTACTTCCAAAGCACGGTGGCATTCCCAGTTCCTGGATTTGCTCTATTTCAACACTCCTCAGTAAGGGCAATGGCTGCTTTGGAGGCTCACATGGGATGCTGGGAAGAAACTTCTTCATCAGGAGGACAACACATTGGCAGAGGTTGCCTGGAGAGGTGGTGGCTCCATCCTTGGAGGACTTCAAGAACTGGTTAGGGAGATCCATGGCTCAGCTGATGCTGTGCTGGCAATGTCCTGCTCTGAGTGGGCAGGGATGACCATGGTCGTTCCTTCCAACCAACATCTCTGCACATCTACAGACAGCTCTATCCAGCCCCCTTGGATTTTCCACCCCAACTCAAAGCCTCATCCACACAATCATCCCCCGTTTCTCCTGAAACTGCCCTGAAGTTTTACTCCAAGTCTCTACCTTCTGCCTCGTGGTACTTCTAAACTGGACATGAGAGACCTGGCATCAATTGGTCACAGCAGAAGAGGACCACCTTCGTAGAGCAGCACTATCACTGGAGGTAGCCAATATTACACATCACTACCAAGTGAGGTGCAGATGATGATGAGTTCTCCTTCTTCCACAACAGGAAAGAAATGGTTGAAACTTTGCCTAGGAAACATTGCAGAGTCAAACTCAACAGCTATTGGCCGGAGTTGCTCCATGTGTGAGCTAGCTCCATTCCCAGGCAGTCTCCAAGAGGGAATGATCTACACCAAACACCCAAGGGATTTGTCAGTAGAGATTCCCAACCTTCTACCCCAATTCTGTGCCAAAGGAATTAACAGGAAGGGTGAACATGGGAAAAATGGCACGGACCCATGGATAGGACCTACCATAGGACAGGATCCTATCAACTACCCCACCAGCACTCCCAAAGAGCTACAACTCTCCAGGGTATACAGACCTCAGATCTGATACCAAGAGAACCTGGAGTAGAGGCAGACCACCTCTACCCAGCATTTCAATGGCTCTGGTGGCATTTTCACACCAGAGAACCCCAAAACAAGGAGTTAACCCTTCCCCCATCATGGCCATGGATTTATCATTCCCACAGCACCCACCAAGCCGATTACTTTCTCTTCTGGCTTGCATGAAGCACTGGAATGATGCCAAGGAACAACAGCTTAGCGCTGGTGCTGTCGGTGTGCCAGGCTCCAAGGGACCTGCTCACATCATAATCTGCTCAGGGAGGAGAATAAGACATTGCTGGAATTCCTCTCCAGAGACTCCATCCTCACCAGCATGGTCAAATCCAACCCTGCAAACTGCACACTCAGTTTGGATTCAGAGTTCCACAACAGCTTTGGAAGGACCAGGGGCCTGGCTTAAGGACAAAAGAGCACCTTGTATAATACCAAGCTCTTGTCTATCAAGGACTACAGAAGAAAGGATGAAATAGTTAAAAGAAAATTGTTTCCTTGAAGACAGCTGATCCGTGCAGAGGCTTCTTTAAAACCACAGATCTTGAACCACTGAACTAAGATTCAAATTTAAACATGAGAGATTTAGGTTAGAGATAAGGGTTCAGTCTGGAGAAGAGAAGGCTCAGGGGGGACCTGATCACTGCCTAAAACTGCCTGAGAGGAGGATGGAGCCAGGAGGGGCTGGGCTCTGCTCCCAAGGAACAAGGGATGGGACAAGAGGAAACGGCCTCAAGCTGCACCAGGGCAGGTTTAGATGGAGCTGAGGAACAATTCCTTCCCCAGAGGGTGCTCAGGCATTGGAACAGGCTGCCCAGGGCAGGGCTGCAGTCACCGTCCCTGCAAGTGTTCACACAGCGTGGAGACGAGGCCTCAGTGCCATGGGATAGTGGTGGCCTTGGCAGGGCTGGGAATGGTTGGACTGGATGATGTGTTTCTTTCCAATCTAAATGATTCTTCCCCTCCATTCTCATCTCTATGCTCTTCCTTCTTCTTTTCCAACCTTTTCCCATCCCAGGAGGGCTTAATGTGTTGTTCTGACTGAGCTACTGCTCAGCCCTGAAAGGAGAATGACAAATATCCATGCCAAGAGGTACTAATGGGATTTATCTATCCATCTTACAACTGCTGTGGGGCCGCAGGTCTTCCATCCTGACTGCCAGTCTAGCAGCTTCATTAGGAGGGAGAGATAATACTTTCAGGAGCTAATTAATTGCAATTGCTGATGCTTTTATGGGAGATGTGAAGTATAATGGGTGGAGAATTCCCCCAAATTGCTCCAAGTTCTTCCAGCTGTAAATTAGGAGCCAACAAGATGATATGAGCCAGGCTAATCAGTCTTCAAACATGACAGTCAGAAACCATGTCCTGCTGATCAGGTATCAGATGGAGCTGGAAAACCTCCAGGAATGCTATATCAATCCCAGACTTTGTTAAAGAAGTCTAACCATAAACTCCAGCTTGAACCAGGCTACCCAAGACGACATTTCAAACATAAGCCAAGTGAATTACAAAGTGCATACAAAGCCCATGCTGACGTCTCTATGGAAAGGATGCTTCTCCTAAAAGCCCTCTGGGTGGAAATGCAGCCACTGCAGGGGTTACCCAGGTTTTCCTCAACCTTGGGGGGTTCTTCTAAGCCTCTGGAGGTTCCTCCAAGCATGCAAGGCAGCGTGAAAGAAGAAGCAGCAACCCAAAAGCTGGGAAAGGAGACAAAGAACAGCCGCTTGTTCCACAGGAACCATGGTGAAGACATGAGACTGTGCATGTGGCTTTCACTGTTCTGTGCCCAGGATCAGATCACAGCCTCCAGCAGTTGTATCTCCTGGAGACAAGCACCTGCCTCTGCTGGAAGCAGACAAGACCCAATAGTCACGGCTTGTCCACCTTTGCTCTTCTAAAGCTGAAAATGTGAGAAGCTTGTTGGTCCTCATCTAGCATGTTCTTCATGTAGCAGGACACACGTGTGGCCTTGAGATGTCACTGCTGCTCTTCCAAAGACTCCAATTTCATGTGCAACGGGTGAGTTTAAGGCTAAATCTGTGTGGGATCCATGTGGGTTTATTCAAGAACAGGAAGGGAAGATAACATGGAAGCAAAAGACAATGGGAAAACTGTTTTGCTGTGCCTGGAAGGAAAAGGAAGGGGAAGAGAGGAGGAAAAGCAGCAGCAACTGCACTTGAGGGTTATAAGGAGATGTCAGAAGAGTTTAGAGCACCAGAGTAACTCAATTTTCTACCCAACTACACATAAAGATGAGGAATAAAAGCAACAACCCCCATTCCATGCCTTCCCTCTGACATTACTAACTACACCGCAGCTGTGGTTCATCCTGGAGCAAGAGGCAGGACAGGCCCAGCAGCCTGCAGAGGTGGTGTCACCAGAGCCAACATCACCCACCTGAGCTGTAGCTGTCTGTGGAGCTCTGTGAGATGGAGCGGGACAGCGAGCGGCGGCCGATCTTCGTCGGGCGCTTGTTGAATTCCTGCTTTTGGTCAGCAAACTGGATCTGTTCAGAGACATGGATAGCTCAGTCAGGTGGAAAACACAGTCTGAGACAGATCAATCTCAAGGTCCCAAAGCCTTGAGCAGACACCGACACCATCTCAGTCATGGGTTAAATCACAATTCCTATAGGGACAGGGTATGCTCAATTGACTCTTCATTTAGTATCAGACCCTCCACAGGTGCAGCATCCACAGATTTGGCTTCCAAATACCTTAATGCTCTCTTTTAACTAGACAAATCAGAAAGCTTCTCCACCCAACTTAGGTTACTTAACACAACAGAAGCTCTGTTAGGGCCACCAGCATCTGCAGAGCTGATGCAGACACCGACCTGTCTCCCACCGTTTACTGTGGTGACCAGTTTGAGATGTTCCCTAATTGCTGTATGAAACACATAAAGCAAAAGTAACACTTCAAGTAACAGATACCACTTCTGTCTTAAGAACCAGCTGATATTAGGTACATACTCAAGGCTGTTGTGACAGTTGGGAGCATGGATGCCTGGAGAACACAAGTATTTGGGAGTATTGTATTGAAGAGGACACAACTTTATACAAGTTAAGACATAAAGGATAAAGTGTGTAAATGAATCGATACACAGGCTGGCAAAGTGTAATTATCCAAGTTGAAGAGCACCTGCACTATCATTCACCAGCAACACCTACAATAACACCACAGCCATGGACCTAACACCAATGTTTTGGGGCATTTTGTGTCTATCCTGTTGCAGTGGAGCTCGTTTCATTGCTGTGGGTGACAAACAGCAACCTGCTCAACTGGAGATGAAGACTCAAGCCTGTTTCCATGTCAGTCATCACCAAGGAATGAAGATTTCAGATTCCAGATGAACATCTGTGAAGCCCCAAGACCCGCAGCGGGTTTAGGAGCAGCTGAGCACAACCAGGCTAATGCCCCATATAAAATGCTTTGTGTGAAGAACAGTAAACCAAGGCACTGCTTGTGCAGGCTGATGAGCTGCGAGACCTTCCCAGCTGAGAAGGAGGATCCCCATGAGCATCTGCAGTGAGATGCTGCCAGCCCCACCTTCACTTCACCCTGTTTGCTTTGCAGGTAGAAATGTAGTGATGGAATCCCAAAGTGGGCTCAGATCATGGTCAGAGACAGCTCATGGATTCCTGAGACGGAACTCCTTCGTTATTTGGAGAGGGCCTGTAGGGCCAGGCCAAGGGGAATGGCTTTAACCTGCCAGAGGGGAGACTGAGATGAGCTCTTAGGCAGAAGCTCTTCCCTGTGAGGGTGCTGAGGCGCTGGCACAGGGTGCCCAGAGAAGCTGTGGCTGCCCCATCCCTGGCAGTGTTCAAGGCCAGGTTGGACACAGGGGCTTGGAGCAAGCTGCTCTAGTGGAAGGTGTCCCTGCCCGTGGCAGGGGTTGGAACTGGAGGAGCTTTAAGGTCCCTTCTGACACAAACCAGTCTGGGATTTTGTGAAATTGGAAACACAACTTCCAACTGCAAATCTCCTTGGACTTTGCTATGAGTAGAAACTGACTCCATCTGATCCAACAGGGTTAAGTATTCACATCCCCAAACACTAAAGCCTTTAATTGAGTGCATTAACAACCCCTTGAGGGTATTTTGAGTAGTTTTAAAGGAGTCATCAAACCAGAAAGAATTTGATCCCATTCTGGGAACTCCAATTTAAGCTCGAGCAGTGACACTTGACAGTGCCCTTGAGCAGGGCTGGTGATGCTCAGTTAGTACCTGGCTTTCAGGCCACCAAGTAAAGGACAAAGGTGAGGAGGGGGGGGGCTCTCAGGTGGCTAATGCAGGGTCCCCTGTGAACCCAAATGCGAGCTGGCCCAGGGACAGCCATTCCAAGCTGCTGGAGCAAGGACCTGGGAGAGGATTTGCAGCAGCACATGGGGGCTTGCTCCTGCTAATCTTAAACCAAACAAGAGAAGGACATTGGCTCAGGAAACACACAGGGGAGGGAAAACCCCCCACATCAAACTCAGATTACAGCCAGGAGTCGTGGTTCCACCTCTGATCCTGGTGGAACTGGGTCTTTGCACACACCCCCCCCAGCTTTCTTTATATCCCTTGCCTGAGAAGCTGTTGGCCTGAAATCACCTTATTTTGGAGGGATTTAGTTTAGGTTCTGCTTCCTGTAAAGCAAATCCCTCGACAGCTCAGCAGCTTCATCAAACATCAGGGTATTTGAGGGAGCTGATGTTCCTGGCAAAGGGAGATGGGCTGGAAGTGTAGCAAAAGAGGAATAATTCCTATTATAATTAATATTTCCCTTTCCAATATCATCTCTTCAAGGACATTCAATGCAATTATTTCAAGTGATACATTAAGACTGGGAATTGCATTCAGAGCTCTCAAAGTTGTACCACAGCCAAGACCCACAGGCAGGGATGTGCCAAAAATCAACCATAGAATCCCAGACTGGTTTGTATTGGAAGGGACCTTAAAAGGATGGGGCAGCCACAGCTTCTCTGGGCACCCTGTGCCAGTGCCTCAGCACCCTCACAGGGAAGAGCTTCTGCCTAAGAGCTCATCTCCGTCTCCCCTCTGGCAGGTTAAAGCCATTCCCCTTGTCCTGTCCCTACAGGCCCTTGTCCAAAGCCCCTCTCCAGCTTTCCTGCAGCCCCTTTAGGCACTGGAGCTGCTCTAAGGTCTCCCCTTCAGGAGCCTTCTCTTCTCCAGGCTGACCCAGCCCAGCTCTCTCAGCCTGGCTCCAGAGCAGAGCTGCTCCAGCCCTCGCAGCATCTCCGTGGCCTCCTCTGCACTCGCTCCAACAGCTCCACGTCCCTCTTGTGCTGCTGCCCCAGTGCTGGATCAGGACTGCAGGGGGGGTCTCCCCAGAGCACAGCAGAGGGGCAGGATCCCCTCCCTGAGCTGCTGCTCACGCTCAGGGGGTGCAGCCCAGCACACAGGGGGGTTCTGGGCTCAAGAGCACACTGAAGCCAGGTCATGGGGAGCTCCTCCTCAGCCAGCACCCCCAAGTCTTTCTCCTCTTGAACCAGACTTTACAATAAACCCTGCCCCCACCCCTTTAAGGGTTTCAACCCTTTAAACGCTGCCACAGGCTGGAGTGGCTCTAGCTGAACAAGGCACTGACTGCCAAGATGGAAGGAAACAGCAGAAGAGGAGGCCAGGTCAAGGCTCAGGTCTGATCTTAGGTCACCACCACCTTTTGCCTTTATCCTCTGAGTAACAAAGACAGCGGCACGGACACTGGAATTTGATTTGTTTAGGATATCTTCAGTACCAATGCTGTTTCGTATTCCATGGCCATGTGAAAGGAACAAGGTACCAGTAGGAATAAACCCTTAAGCCAGTTCTCACAACACATCTTTGGTTTTGAGTTGATATCTCAGCAATGCACCCTCCATCCCGCCAGAAGGAGCAAACCAGACCTTGCTTACCCAGACCAAAACTCTGGCTTAAATCCCTACCAAATGGCACAAGGCAACTGATGGCACAACACAACACAACACACCATGTTCCAGCCTTGCTTTAAAGATGGGGGCATTCAAGACAGGGACCAGAAGCGTGATTTGGCTCCAGGCTACACTCATTCAGCTCACACTGAAACATTTCTGAAGGTAAAGGCAACTTTGCCCATCTAAAGCTCAAAGGAGAGGCTGTGAAGCCGCTGAGGGCTGCAGCAGCTTGAATTTAGGAGTCCAACCTGTTCTGCAGCTACGCAAGTGCTGCTGCTTTCAGCTTGCAGCAGGAATAAACCCAGTTGAAGCTGCAAAGCTCACCTGCAGAGGCACAAGGGGTTAATGGCTTCTAATTGCAGGTGCTCATTACATTTCACATGAGTTCAGTCTCACTTCCACCTGGGGTTCCTACCACAAAGAGCTGCTCTATGCTCCTTCACCGCGCTCCAAGTCTCATCATCCGAGGTTTTCCTGGGTTATTTCCCTACTCATGGACTCCTCCATCACGGTGCTCTGAAGAACAACCCTGGAGAAACATGTTTGCCTCAACACTTCATCACTTCGAACCTCCTGCTTGCAAGGGAAATGAAGTGATCTGGGGATTGGGATTTTCTCTAAGTAGGGGGGAAGTCAGCTCCAGAATGGGGGAAATAGGAAGGAAAAGAGGGGGGAAAGAAGGATATAAAGAGAAACAAATGTACTTTTAAATAGAAAAGTGCTATTTTGGTACTAAATAGTGCCCTCACCTGGGCTTTAATCCCTGAGTCCCCGTTCACGTTGTATTTCTTCTTGCTCAACATGACGGCACCAGCGCAGCACTTCCGCACCGTGTCCCACCAGGACAAGGGCTGTCCCCCCATTTATAGCTCCCAGCCCTGCCGAGCCCGATCCTGCCTGCTCTGGTTTCAGCTGCAGGGTGGAGGGAAGGAGGGAGAGAAGGAGGGAGGAGGGATGGGGAATTGCTGGGATTTGCAAACAACCTTTAGTTTGGCAGGAAAGGACCCTAAGATGCAAAGAGGCATTACACCAAACAAGCCCTACTTGTGTTTTAGGGTGAATTACAGAGTTTTCCTGACCTCCAAACACTCCGTGTCCGTGTTCCAGGTGGCCTGGCTGGTGTGTGCATAATAATAGCTGGTTTAGAGAGCCAGAACATTGCCCTGCTCACTGCAATTTACTTGCTAATCAGGCTCCTTTCTACCTGGGCTCTCCCCCTCCACTTTGATTTTCCCCAATGGCAAATGGTTCCATTAACAGAGACTCATTAAGAGAAAATTAACTAATGAGGAACTAAAACAAAAAGGCATTTGTTAGATAGCAAAAGGGGGGGGGGGGGGTAATTATGTTGGCCCCCTGTGGCAGCAAGTGCAGAGTTCGTCCTTGGAAGGGTCCAGACTCTGACACCCACCTTGCTGTTCCCATGTTGGACCATTCCTCCTAGAATCCCAGACTACTTTGGGTTGGAAGGGGCCTTAAAGCTCCTCCAGCTCCAACCCCTGCCACAGGCAGGGACACCTTCCACTAGAGCAGCTTGCTCCAAGCCCCTGTGTCCAACCTGGCCTTGAACACTGACAGGGATGGGGCAGCCACAGCTTCTCTGGGCACCCTGTGCCAGCGCCTCAGCACCCTCACAGGGAAGAGCTTCTGCCTAAGAGCTCATCTCAGTCTCCCCTCTGGCAGGTTAAAGCCATTCCCTTGGCCTGTCCCTACAGGCCCTTGTCCAAAGCCCCTCTCTGGGTTTCCTGTAGCCCCTGTAGGCACTGGAGCTGCTCTCAGGTCTCCCCTTCAGGAGCCTTCTCTTCTCCAGGCTGACCCAGCCCAGCTCTCTCAGCCTGGCTCCAGAGCAGAGCTGCTCCAGCCCTTGCAGCATCTCCATGGTCTCCTCTGCACTCGCTCCAACAGCTCCACGTCCCTCTTGTGCTGCTGCCCCAGAGCTGGATCAGGGCTGCAGGGGGGTCCCCAGAGCACAGCAGAGGGGCAGGATCCCCTCCCTGAGCTGCTGCTCATGCTCTGGGGGTGCAGCCCAGCACACAGTGGGGTTCTGGGCTCTGAGCTCACACTTCATCACTTGAGCAATGTGCAGGAGCAACCATCTTTCTGAACGCCTGGATTACACAAGGCAGTGTTTCAGTAGTGGCAGTGTCTTAAATGTGTTCTTAGCCATGGATATTTGTTTGTTTTGAAGGAACAAAGGGAGGAAAGAAGAGTTTTCTGTGTGATTAAATCCCACAAGCTCTCCAGCCTTGCTTACACCTTTCAAATCCCCCTGCACCAACCTTGGGACATAAAAGGCAAGTTCTGGAGCTGATTAAAATCTCCCAGTGTACGATAGAGCAGGTCAAGTCTGTGGTCTTCAAGAGCTGTCACTGCTGGGTTCCTCATGTGACAAACTGCCAGGGAAAACATCTCATCCATCCCTAGCAGTGTTCAAGGCCAGGCAGGACAGAGCCTTGGGTGGCATGGTCTAGTGTGAGGCATCCCTGCTCACGGCAGGGGGGTTGGAACCTGATGATCTTAAGGTCCTTTCCAGTCCAAAACATTGCATAATTCTATGATTCTATGCCAAGTGATAAGGTGAATTTAATTGTTATTTTGTTTAAATAAAAAAGTATGAAGATTGTAAGAGAAATGATTTCACAGTGTCTAGAATGGAAAGGACCAACGCAACTGTTCTGATGTCTCACCAGGGCTTGCAGCTCCCATATGAAACCTCCTCCTGCCCTCTCATCCCTATTCATGAAGGAAAAGCTGGTTTCCTCCAGCACGTGACCTGCCCAAGCCAGATACTGCATCTCCTGCTCCACTTTCCCTTGTGAAACCAAAGATGTGCATGGAGAAATGGGGTGCTGGCATCTCAAAGGCAACTGAGCATGCTGAAGGCCAGGCTGGACAAGGTTTGGAGCAAACTGCTCTAGTGGAAGGTGTCCCTGCCCGTGGCAGGGGGTTGGAACTGGATGAGCCTTAAGGTCCCTTCCAACCCAAATCAACCTGTGATTCCATGATGCTTGAAACAATCGGCAACCATCAGCTTGAACAACGCAGGCAGCTCCTGTTCTGCTAATCCACCTCCCAGATCATATCACTTCAAGAAAGGGACTGTCCAAACTCATTTGTTCTATAGTTCCACATGCCTTAAACTAATATGTAATCCTGACAGTGCTGCTCACTGAGCCAAAACTTTCACTGGAGCTCAAAGTGTTTAAGATTCCAGTTCTCCAGGCGAAAGGTCACATGGAACCCAATTCTGGGATTAACACAAACACTTAACCCTTTGGCATCTTCCTTCTGGAAAACAGCTTGAGGATGTGGAGTTAAGGCTGATTTTTAACCTGCCAGAGGAGAGACTGAGATGAGCTCTTAGGCAGAAGCTCTTCCCTGTGAGGGTGCTGAGGCGCTGGCACAGGGTGCCCAGAGAAGCTGTGGCTGCCCCATCCCTGGCAGTGCTCAAGGCCAGCATCCTTGCAGCCCCCTTCAGACACTGAAGCTGCTCTGAGGTCCCCATGCAGCTTCTCTTAGTCAGAAAGTTCAGGGGTTTACCCAGTAAGTGAAGCACTCTGACCCCATATTTGGCTCACAGCACATTAAATGACTTCAGCTTATGCTGTTGCTCAGGTCTGTAAAACCCCAAACCTCTATATCACAGCCTTGATGCAGTTCTGAAGACCTAAAACCAATCAATCTCCTCTCAACCATTAGAACCACAGAACACGGAGAACTCATATTGTATCCTCCTCTTCCAAGAAGCAATGCAGAAGGGATTATTATTATCCTTTAATAATCCATTTTGTCAATATTTGGTTAATAACAAGAGGTGTCTGCAGTAAATGCTCAACCTTGGTGAGAACATCAAGACATAGATGTCCATTTGAATAATGACCTTTAAAGATAATGAACATTTTAAAGCTTAAGCTGATTATTTGTTGCAATGTGGCTGTTCAGAAACCACATGAAATGCAAATGTTACAACCCTGATTAAAACCATTGCTGCAGAACATGACCTTAAGGCCTTTGAGATGGAGCTGGATGTCACAGCAGCTGTAAAGCACATACAAAGTCATATACCCATGCCGCAGGAGGAGTGCTGTGGCCATAAGGTCTACTTAATGTCATCTGGTCCTGCCCCAGCAGCACCAGTTCCATAAAGGAAACTATTACAGAGGGAGACAGATCCATAGGGAGAAGTTTGCTGCTTGTTTTGAAGCAGAACTCCACGTTTTACGATCAGCACTGAGAAATCCACATTGGAATTCGCAGAATCCCTCACTGGTTTGGGTTGGAAGGGACCTTAAAGCTCCTCCAGTTCCAATCCCTGCCATGGGCAGGGACACCTTCCACTAGAGCAGCTTGCTCCGAGCCCCTGTGTCCAACCTGGCCTTGAACACTGCCAGGGATTGGGCAGCCACAGCTTCTCTGGGCACCCTGTGCCAGCGCCTCAGCACCCTGGCAGTGAAGAGCTTCTGCCTTATCTCCAACCTGAACTTCCCCTGTTTCAGTTTGAACCCCTCACCCCTTGTCCTAATTCAGTCTGTAAAAGATGAATGAAAAGCAGAATAAAGTGTAATCTTACCCAAATAAAGCTTAAAAACATGACGGGGGGGGGGGGGGGGGAATCAATTTGGATATAAAAGGGAATAGCAAAGTTTGAATCCTATCACCTTGCACAGGCTCTGCAGATAGAGATCAAAGCAGCAACACCTCTCCAGGAGCACAAGAACATCCACTTTTGGAGTGATTTCAGTATTTTTAGAACTACCAAGAGGGATGAGCTCAAAAATAGAAGTGGGAGATGAGAGCAGAGACCTGGGAAAGCACAAAAAACCCTGATGGAGGAGTTCAGTGCTTCTCAAGTACCATGAGCATTTCTGGAGCACAGGACACCTCAGAGAGCCTCGGGAGACCCACAGAGCTGCCACACAACCTCCTGCTTCCCGAGCAGCACATCCTGCTTTTTGGAGCAATGTCACTGTATTTTCAGCTGCTTTGGGAATTCTTGCCACCAGAGGCGCAAAGTGAGGTTTCGTATTTGCTGGTATCTCTCCTACCCAGTTTAACCACCAAATGGAAGCTGAGCAGCACACAGTGGCCTCACGGGTGTCTTGTTTTAGAGGGTTCACTCCAATGACAGGATCTAAATTGATAATCAAAATTAAAGTAGGTGGAAAAAAAAAACAGGATCTGCTGTGTTGATCCTGATGAAATTCAAAGTCTCTTTGAGCTTTCTCCCTCTCCTGCTCCCTGCTGCTCCTGAACTGCTATAAAGATCAGTTCTTAATATGGGTGGTGGGGTGGCCCCTGGGGACCATTCCTCCATCACTTCTTCACCTTCAGCTCATGCTGAAGAACGATGCTGTGCTGGCAGGGGAGGACATCTAAGGGTCCTCATAATATCAGACTTTAAGGACCCTCATTCCAGCTAAACACCACCGCATCCCAAGGTGGAGATCTGAAGATCCCTCCTGACATGAAGCAGCCATCAGCTATGTAAGAAGCTAAATAACTCACCATCCACTCAGGGATATGGAAAGCAGAGGCATTGCTGTCCCACTTCTCCATAGGTGACACCCTCCACACTCACATTTGTTTGGTAAAGGGGATGCAGCTGGATGCAGCGGGATGCAGCCAAGAAAGCTCCCTGCTCTTGAGCTGCTCACCAGGAGTTCACTGGACAGATCTTCCCCCAACTGAGGTCTTCGTTAGGAACCAGCCAAGTGTCCAGGGGGGAGATGAGCAGCTCAGTTCCTCATTTCTGGTCACAGTCCAGCCCTGGATGAAGAGCTCAGATCCAGCCCATTTCTGCAGCCGTCATTTCACTGTCCCCGGCTCTGCTCCATGGTTGAGTTGAGAGAAAACAGGATCAACCTCACCATGGCGTGGAGATGTCCATCCATCACCTACCTCTGTCCCTAGCACTGTGACACCATAATCCTAATGCCCTGGTCCATATAGCAGCAAGATCTAAGAGCTATACTTAAGTCTCCTGCAATGAGGACTATCACCATCAAAACTACATGCAACTGCAAATAAAACAGCATTTGGACTCCTCTAATGCTGAAGAGCTTCCAGCTTCAAGCTCCACGGAGTTAGAAATGAACTTCAGAACCCCGTGGCCTCGCAGAGAACCAGATGAATCATTTTAAGTGGTTCACATTTAGGTCTGAGGGACGGATCAGGGATGGAGCAGGCTGGTGGGCTGCAGCTCCCTCTGCTGAGCACACGCAGCCCTTGCTCTGCAGAAGGCAAACAGCACAGAAAGGAAGATCTTGGGGACAGAACAATCGCAACGAGATCTCCTGCTCTTCCTCCAAAGGTCCAAAGCCAGCAGCTCTGCAACAGCCCGGACTGGGATACAAACAACATGTTGCCTCTTTGCAGTGCTGAAGAGCTGAGTTGAGGTTTGCAATCAACTGACACCTCTCCAGTTTATAGAATCCCAGACTTGTGTTAGAAGGGACCTTAAAGCTCCTCCAGTTCCAACCCCTGCCACGGGCAGGGACACCTTCCACTAGAGCAGCTTGCTCCAAGCCTGTGTCCAACCTGGCCTTGAACACTGCCAGGGATGGGACAGCCACAGCTTCTCTGGGCACCCTGTGCCAGCACCTCAGCACCCTCACAGGGAAGAGCTTCTGCCTAAGAGCTCATCTCAGTCTCCCCTCTGGCAGGTTAAAGCCATTCCCCTTGGCCTGTCCCTACAGGCCCTTGTCCAAAGCCCCTCTCCAGGTTTCTTGTAGCCCCTTTAGGCACTGGAGCTGCTCTAAGGTCTCCCAAGTAACAGATTCCACCCTCAGGAATTCATGAGCCACCTCTGACTGTTTTCTGAGCCCACTTTGGGATTTCATCACTACATTTCCACCTGCAGAGCAAACAGGGTGAAGTGAAGGTGGGGCTAGCAGCATCTAACCACAGATGCTCATGGAGATCCCCCTTCTGGCAGCTCCTCAGCTTGCACAAACATTGCCTCGGTTTACTTTTCTTCACAAAAAGCATTTCACTTGGGACATCCGCTGACACAAACCCCCCTTCCACGGCTTCCTCCTACGCTACAAAGAACTTGCTCACTTGTTTGTGAGCCACCTTCTTGCACTCCACCAGCAGACACGTTCAACTGGGCTCCCAGCACACCTGCATAGACAGAGGCAGCTCCCACTTCCCTCCTCACTCTCATCAACTGAACTATTCAAACACTGGAGATGTTGGAGGTGCTGCTTCTGGCTACACAGGGTGGCAGGAGGCTGCAGGTGAGAACAAGTCCAAGAGGGGTGACTCAGCTCTGGGTACACACCCCACACAACCCAGGCTGAGCAGATCTGCTTTGCCTCCATCACTTCCTCAGCCTGGTAGAATAAACTGAGAGGATTTTGTTATTTTTTAGGGCCATATTTTCACTCTATTGGCAAGCTCACCAGACTGAAAGAAGCTTCCGTTCTGTGCTGCCTTCAAGCCATGACATTCCCATCTCCACAATGCACTGAGCTTAACTTGAGCCAGGACAAACTCTTTATGGAGGCACTCACACAGCAGTTCAGCTGTGGAGGGTGGTAACATCCCCTCCTGTACCAGGACATAGCACTGAACCCTGGTCCTGCATGGGTTAGACATCTCAGATGTTCCCACCAGACCCAACACACCATCAGGCACCAGATGTACTGGATTTGCACAGCATCCATATTCCCATAGAGCCAGCAAAGTGATTCCCAGAACATGAGCTGTCCCAGCACAAACATCCCCCAGGCTCCTCCAATACATCAGAATCATGGAATGGGTTGGGTTGGAAGGGACCTTAAAGCTCCTCCAGTTCCACTAGAGCAGCTTGCTCCGAGCCCCTGTGTCCAACCTGGCCTTGAACACTGCCAGGGATGGGGCAGCCACAGCTTCTCTGGGCACCCTGTGCCAGTGCCTCAGCACCCTCATAAACCTTCCTGGCTCTAAAGCAAACCCCATCTCAGCCCCCATATAACAATCATACCTTCCAAAACTTCTTTTTAAGGTTCACCATCAGATGCTGTCTTACCTACTCTTACAGCAAAGGTTGTTCCTTACAACAGCTGCCACCACCACCAGCTCCAGGGACCTTCAGAGCCTAGAGCTGCAACAGACAGTCACAAGCAGCCTTATCCTAGACACTCCCTTAGGGACAGGACAAGGGGAATGGCTTTAACCTGCCAGAGGGGAGACTGTGAGATGAGCTCTCAGGCAGAAGCTCTTCCCTGTGAGGGTGCTGAGGCGCTGCCACAGGGTGCCCAGAGAAGCTGTGGCTGCCCCATCCCCGGCAGGGTTCAAGGCCAGGTTGGACACAGGGGCTTTAACTTTCACCTCTCCCTTCATGTGAGAGGGGAAGACACTGAAACCACACTGAAACAAACTCTACCTGATGTTCCCCAATGTTGCCTGTGGCTGGTGGCTTCTAACATCCATCACACAAATCAATATTCATTATTAACACTAAAGGATATCAGCATGGACCTGCTTGGAATGTTGCTCAGTGCTAAGGAAAAGCTCCAGGAGAAGTGTTAACAACTAGGAAAAGCTTTGAAAAACCTCCTTCAGCAGAGATGAAATGGTCCCCAGGCCAAATGAACCTTCCAGGCACTGAAAGCTAAACAGGAGCAAAACCCTGAGCAGAGAATCAGAATTATTGTTCAAATACACCTAACTATGCGCTTTGATGTCTCTGCTGAGAAGCTGGGTCTAATTCAGTGACTTGCTTTGAGCGCTGTTGCAGCAGCATCATGAGAACAGGATGGCCCGTGGTGGAAGAACCAGGTGGTGAGAAATCCATGCAGGATGGAGGGCTGCATGAGCCTTGCTCAGACACGAGGGGGAGCGAGAGCCTGCGGAAAAGGTCACCAAGTTTAAGCCCTGAGCTGTAAAGGGAAATGGAAGAAAACCAAGAAGCCTTTGATCGGCTTCACGTGGGGGCATTTGTAGAAGCATCTTCCGACCTTCAAGCATGAGCTGTTTGGAGAATCAGTGGAGATCGGCAAGAGGTTAGTAACCTTCACCTATGAGTCCCTGTGTGCATCCTGGTGTCCCTGAGCTGATGGTAACACAACCTGGATGTCTCAAACTCTCCTAAAACCCTCACCCCTCGTCCCACTGTGGCACAACCCAATCAGGTGGGAGATGCCCTCCCAGCAGCACCCGGAGAACGTGGGATGCCTCCATTCTCCCAGTGCTGGTGTTCAAAGAGCAGGTTCTGAATTGTCCCGTTTTAAGCCTTCCTGCCAAGTTAACATCAGCACTGTCTTTACAGGAGATACATAACTCCTACAGAACTTTCGGGTTTATGGAGTATCAGTTTACCATGAATATTGCTACAGCCCAGACTGTTAAGACCTTGGACTGAGCATTTCCATTATACAATCCCAGACTGGTTTGGGTTGGAAGGGACCTTAAAGCTCCTCCAGTTCCAACCCCCTGCCACAGGCAGGGACACCTTCCACTAGAGCAGCTTGCTCCAAGCCCCTGTGTCCAACCTGGCCTTGAACACTGCCAGGGATGGGGCAGCCACAGCTTCTCTGGGCACCCTGTGCCAGTGCCTCAGCACCCTCACAGGGAAGAGCTTCTGCCTAAGAGCTCATCTCAGTCTCCCCTCTGGCAGGTTAAAGCCATTCCGCTTGGCCTGTCCCTACAGGCCCTTGTCCAAAGTCTCTCCCATTTTGCAATACTAGTGCACAAAGCTCTTCCAAGACTCCAGCAGTGGTTTTACAACCATTTTCACTCATCCTTGGGGCTATGTGGGTGCAGTGAACCAGGGAACAACTCAGGGCTCCAGCACAGCACAACAGATAGAAAGACAGTTGGTATTTTTAACACAAACAGGTCACCGCCTGGCCCCACAGGCAAGAAGAGTACAAGTTACTGCATGAGAGAGGCAGTGTAAAGCAAATCCTCTTCCCCACAGGAGAAAACTACATTTGGAAGCTCTTCCCTTTTAGGCTCTTCAGTGACACCTACAGAATCTGCTCATATCAGCTCTTCACCCTCCTCACCTACTAAAATACTTACTAGAACTCATTTTACTGCCAACTTACTCCACTCTGGCAGCTCTGTCTCACCCTCTGCCTTGCAGAGAGCCCAATCCCTGAATACCCATAGCTCTGTTGACTCTCTGAACCATCAACTAAGCTTAGTTAAAGAGCGTGCAGAAACTAAAGGCTGGGCTTTAGTTTTAGGTAGGACGATCTCCAGTTAGGGCTGAAGTCCAAGCAAGGACCATCTTCACAGACAGGAGTAGCTCCTGGTATCATATTTAGCTACAATGGTGTAACTAATGTGTATATATTTAAGTATATAATGGTCTAGGTATTGTGTTTATATCTACAAAAGATGTTGACTTGCACATGAGCTTCAAGGGACATGAGTTATTTAACAGCTACAAATCTCTTACTGAATGAAGATGATGATGAGGATGCTGCAAGGGCTGGAGCAGCTCTGCTCTGGAGCCAGGCTGAGAGAGCTGGGCTGGGTCAGCCTGGAGAAGAGAGGGCTCCTTAAGGGGAAACCTTAGAGCAGCTCCAGTGCCTAAAGGGGCTGCAGGAAAGCTGGAGAGGGGCTTTGGACAAGGGGGTTGGAACTGGGTGACCTTTAAGCTCCCTTCCAACCCACCCATTCCATGACTCCATGCAAACAAAGCCTATCTCCATAAGCAGATCCCCATTTAGTCCCAGGAACGTCACGCAGCAGAGCACGTCCCCTCCAGCTGTGAGATGACAGCAGCAGACTGATGGGGTTGTCTCACTGCAGACTCACTCCAGCTTCCCGCATCCCTGAGAAATCCCACCTCCCACACATAGATCCCGGGCTGCTGAGGGAAATGCCAACGTGCCGAACCGGAGCTGGGAATGCCAATCCTCAGTGCTGTCAGACAAAAGAGGGAAATGAAGTGAATGAGCAAAGCTTTAACCAGTGGACCTTGGTGTAATGAGAAACAGCCCCTGAACGCGTAATGACAGGGCATCCTTCCCTGGCTTTCTGTTTTCCCATGGGAAGGAAGCTATAGGGTCTGAAAAGGAAAAGCTTCAAATGCAGCTCTGCTCCAAACACTGCTTCATCCTGCACAGTCTCTAAGGGCAGAAAGCAACTGGGCAGGAGG